GCGCCGCCGCCGCGGGCGACGTCCTCGAGCTCGCGGAGACGGTCCTCAGCTCCGGCGCGGCCGCGCTCTTCGCCAAGACCACGCAGAACAAGCTCGCCCTGCGGCTCCGGGGCGCCGGCGAGGCCGAGCGGCTCCGGGCGGTCGTCGTGGGCGCGCGGGGGGTGGAGGCTTAGGCGGGGCACTTAGTCTCAAACAAAAAAGGGGGGCGGGGATGATGCGGGCTCACTTGGAGCAGTAGCAGGTGAAGAGCTCGACGCTCGAGAACTTGAGCTCCGCCTCGGCGCAGAACTCGCGGCACGCGCCCTTGGCGCTGTTCGCGTGGACGATGCGCTTGGACTTGTAGTGCGTGCCGCCGATGGAGCACAGCTGGGGGCCGATGAAGTACGTGCCCGCCTCGTTGAAGCCCATGCCGATCGTCGGGCCGATCGCGCAGATGTCGCGCATCGAGTTGACGCTCGACGCGAAGGCGACGCTCAGGGCCGTCGCGAAGATGCCGCCCACGGCCGCGGCGACAGAGATGCCGCCCACGGCCGCGCCGACGAGGGCGCCGAGCGAGCTGCCGCCGCCGTCGTCGTCGTCGTCGTCGTGCTCCCAGTCCTTGTAGTACCAATTCGTGTTGCAGCCGTCGTCCTCGTCCCAGGAACCGTACGTCACCCACCCCCAAGTGTATTCATGGGTGCCACAGCTGTTGCAGGCCTCCTCATCGGCGCAGCCATAGCAGTCGTCTCCGCCGCAGCTCCTGCAGTCACCGTCCTTCCAGGCGCACGCGCCCGTGCACGAGTCTTCGTCTGAAATCGTGTCGCACCGGAGCTTGCACTCCCAGTCAGTGGTGGTTGAATTCACGAGCCAGTGGCAATAGTCCCAGCAGCTATCCTCCCTCAGATTGCACTCTTTCCCACATTTTTCCCAATTCTCCATCCATAAGCAGGAATCGTCCTCGCCACACGAGTCCTCATCTGCTTTCGCCCCACACCCCGCCTCGCACGCTCCATCTTCCCAGTCGCAATAGTCGCTGTCGCACGACTCTTCCGTGTACTCGGAGCACGCGGTTCTGCACTCGTCGTGATTGTCGAGCCACTGGCAGCTGTCATCTGCGTCGCATACCTCCTCCTACGAGCGACGGGATCGGATCTCCCCGCGTTTCCAGGCGAGCGTCGGGCGAACGGGCGCCCCCGTCGTGGGACGCCGTCGCAAGACGTCCTGGTACTTCGCTTCACACCGTAGGAAGCAGACCTCGTTGTCCCAGTCGTACTCGCAGTGGTCGTGGCAATCGTCTTCATCCAAATTCGAGCACTTGTCCTTGCACGTGTTCCACCACCCGGCCACCCACTGGCAGCTGTCATCCGCGTCGCAATCTTCCTCCTACGACGCGACGGGATCGATCTCCCCGCGTTTCCAGGCGAGCGTCGGACGAACGGGCGAACCCCGTCGTCGGACGCCGTCGCAAGACGTCCTGGTACTTCGCATTACACCGCGTGAAGCAGACCTCGTTGTCCCAGTCGTACTCGCAGTGATCGTGGCAATCGTCTTCATCCAAATTCGAGCACTCGTCCTTGCACGTGTTCCACCCGGCCACCCACTGGCAGCTGTCATCCGCGTCGCAATCGTCCTCCTACAAGGATCCGATCTCCCCGCGTTTCCAGGCGAGCGTCGGGCGAACGGGCGCCCCCGTCGTCGGACGAACGGGCGAACCCCGTCGTCGGACGCCGTCGCAAGACGTCCTGGTACTTCGCATCACACCGCGTGAAGCAGACCTCGTTGTCCCAGTCGTACTCGCAGTGATCGTGGCAATCGTCTTCATCCAAATTCGAGCACTCGTCCTTGCACGTGTTCCACCCGGCCATCCAGACGCAGTCGTCGTCCGCGTCGCAGCTCCCCTGGAGCCGCCCGTGCTTCGCAGAGCAGTCCTCCGGTTCCTCGTAGTCGTAGCCGTCCGGCACGGTCGCGCAGCAGGTGTAGGAGCAGTCGTCTTCAGACATCGTGGGATAGGCCGGCACGGGATAGTAGCCCTCGACGCACGTCGCGGGCTCGCCCCAGTCCATCGACGCGCAGCAGTCGTTCCCGGAGCTCGTACCTACCCGCGCGCGACGACGACATTTTGGGGGGCCTCGAAGTCGCCACGGGACGCAGGTGTATACACAAGCCCTCGGAGAAGCAGTCGCGGTGGTCGTCGTCGACGTCGTAGCTCCCGCCTTCGAACCAGCACCCGTCGTCGTCGCTGTACTTGTGCTCGCAGCTGAGCGAGCACGTGTTCGATGAGTCACTCCACGCGCAGTGGTCAGCCTCGTCGCAGCCGTCCTCGTCCCACCCTTCACAATTGTCGCGGCAGCTCCACCAATTTTGGAGCCAGACGCAGTCTGAATCCTCGTCGCACGCGACCTTGTCGTCCCAGTCGTACGAGGAGCAATCGTCCCCGCGCACGGCCGCGACGACGAGGGCGAGCAGCAGCGTCGGCGCCTTCTTCATGACGCGCGCGGACCCCGACGGCGCCTCCCCGAGGCTGCGCGCGCGACGACAATGCTCTAATTAATGCTGGGCAATGCTCAGCAGCAGCCCAGCTGCGATAAATTTAAAGTAGCGGTTTGCGCTACCCTTCAAGGTTCCTTCTGGCACGGGTTCCCGCCCCTCAATCGAGCTCGCCGAAGTCGGTCTTGCGGTCGAAGATCTTGAGGTCGTCGTCGTCGTCGGCGTCGTCGAAGTCGCCGACGGAGGGGAGCGAGGCCGCGGGGACGGAGTAGCGGGGCCCGAGGCTCGCGGCCTTGCGCTGGAGCTCCTCGAAGGAGGGGATGCGGGCGCCGGCGTAGTCGTCGTGCCCCCCCGCGTGGGAGAGGCGGACGCCGGCGAGGCCGCCGGGGGGCGCGTCCCAGTTGGCCACGTCGAGGTCGTTCCAGCGGTCGCGGCACGCGTCGCCGTCGACCTTGGCGCGGTCGACGAGGCCGAAGTCGATGTCGAGGGGCCGCAGGGCCTCGGCGACGGCGTCGAAGTCGTAGTAGTGGGCGCGCACGAGGCCCGCGAGCGACGTGTCCATGGCCTCGGTCCAGTAGAGCCGCTTCTCGCGCGGCGGCGACTCGACGTCCGCGTCCGGCGGCGCCGCGGCCTTGGGGCGGCCGGCGCCGGCGCCGTTGGCGGCGGCGATGGCGAGCTTGTCCGCCTCGACCTGGGCGCGCCGGTCCGCGTCGGCCTGCTTCTTCGCCTCCTTCTGGAGCTTGTAGAGGTGGAGCGACTCGTGGACGCGCTCCGCGAGCTCGTCCTCCGTCGGCCCCGCGGCGCTCGGCGGCGCGTCGCGCATCTTCGCCGGCGTCGGCGCGTCGCGGAGGCCCGCGAGGGGCTCCTCGTCCGGCGGCGGCGGCGGCGCCGCGTCGCGCGCCGGGTCCGCGGGCGGGTCGGGCAGGTCGCAGGGGTCGGGGAAGCCGCCGGAGGACCGCGGGTCGAGCGCGGCCATGTAGGCCGCGTCGTCGTCGCTGTCCGAGTCGTCGTCGACGATGGGCACCTTGACGGCCGCGGCCGGCGGCGGCGGCGGCGGCGCCTCCGCCGCGGGTTCCGCCGTGGCCGCCGCGCCGGGCCGGAGGTGCTCGTTGCCCGGGAGGAAGGGCCGGTGGTCGACCTCGCCGCCGCCCTCGAGGAGGGTGCCGAGCTTGTGGAGGTTCGCGCACGCGGCGCGGTCCGCGTCGGCCTGGGCTCTGCGCTCGACGGCGAGCGCGGCGTCGCGGTCCGCGGCCTCCCGCGCCTCGCGGGCCGCGCCCCGGGCGTCGTGGCCGCCCATGCCCTTGCGCTCCTGGTACTCGGCGCGGACCTTGGCCTGCCACGCGCGGTACTCGGCCATCTGCCGCTTGTCCTTGTCGCGCTTCGCCTGCGCGAAGTCGCGCTTGCAGCGCTGCTCGGCCTCGTGGCCGCCCTCGGCCCAGGCCGCGGCGGCCTCGCGCTCGCCCTCGAAGACGGGGCGGTCGAGGTACGCGAGGAGCGGCATCGCGAGGAGGCACCGCTTCCGGAACTGCGGCGTGGCGGAGACGCAGGGGTTGCCGCTGACGTTGACGCCGCAGAGCTTCGGCGCCGCGGCGAGGGCGGCGATGACGTCGTCGCCGGCGAGGGCGTTCTGTTCGATCTGGAGGTTCTTGAGCTCGCCGAGGCGCGCGAGCTCGCCGATCGCCGCCGCGTCCGCGAGCTCGTTCTTGTTCACGTTGAGCGTCTCGAGCCTCGGCGTCGCGGCGCCGAGGTGGGACAGGACGGCGATGCGGTTCTCGCTGAGGTCCAGCGTGACGAGGTTGCGGAGGCCGTCGAGGCCGTGCACCGTCCGGAGCAGGTTCCGGCCCAGGAAGAGGCACCGGAGCTCGCCCAGGTGGCCGAGGCCCTCGACCCGGCAGAGGCCGTTGGCCTCGAGCCAGAGGCCCTTGAGCCCCGTGTAGGGCTCGAGGTTCTCGATGCGCTGGAACCCCTTGAAGTGGAGGTAGAGGTTGTCGTTGAGCTCCGGCGTCTCGTAGCCGTCGTTCTCGAGGCACGACGCGAGGAGCAGCTCCTTCGTCATGCGCGGCAGGCCGCCCGACGCGTCCGCGGACACGGCCAGGGACGCCATCGTCGTCGATCGCGTCGCGCGCGCGTCGCGTGCGGGGCCGGCGGCGAAGCGCTGTGGCCGGCGGGGGCTGCCTCGCGTTTCGACGGCCAAACTGGCGGCGCGCTGTTTCCGTTGGTGCTGCCGAACTCAAGAAAAGATCTGATTCCCGTCGCACGACGAGCGACGAAGGAGACACCCTCGGATTGAGAATTGGGAGACACCGATTCGCGCCCTCCTGGACGCCGCCTCTTCGCGACCATGAGCTCGGCGCTCCACCTGAGCTGCCAGGAGGACGGCGAGGACGAGAACGTGCTGCAGGACTGCATGCCCACGGAGGAGGACCTGCAGCGCGTCGTCTTCAAGCAGTTCCACGAGCTCGACGTGGGCGGCCGGTGCGCGGTGCCGCCGCCCCCCGTGCCCGGCTACGAGAGCGACAGCCCGACCGCGTCGCCGCGGTCCATCGGCCGCGTCGCGCCGCCGCCGCTGTCGCCGCCCGGCCGCGCGGAGCCCGGCGGCGACGACGCGTCGCCCGAGGACCTGAGCGGCAGCCCACGGCCGGCGGCGACGCCCGCGGAGACCGCGGCGCTCTTCCAGGTGCCCGACATCCCGCTCTACGCGTCGGACAGCGGCAAGACCTTCCAGCGCGTCCACATCGACGAGGCCGACGACGCGACCGAGGGCGAGGACGTCCACGTCGGCGCGGCGAAGATCAAGCGCGCGCTCGACCTCCACCTCGAGTGGACCGCGAGCGAGCGCCGCGTGGGCCAGGCGAAGCGCGCGGCGCCGCCGCCGTCGCCGAAGCGCGACGGCTACCGCCGCGAGCCGCCGGCCTACCAGCCCTTGGACGCGTACCACCACGCCGTGTCCTTTGCGCCGCTCGACGCGTCGGGCCTCGGCTGCGACGCGGGCGTCTGGGCCTACGCGGGCGACGTGTCCAACGCCGGGCCGAGCCACCCGTCGGCCGAGTCCATGTCCGCGACGCGCCTCCGGCGCCAGACGCGGCCGACGCCGTCGCTCCGCGACTTCGCGCTCGCCTTCGACGAGATCAAGGGCATCGTCAACGCCGGGCCCGTCAAGTCGCTCGCCTTCAAGCGCCTCGCCGTCCTCGAGCAGCGCTTCAACCTCCACGTGCTCCTCAACGGCTGGCGCGAGCTCAGCTCCCAGAAGTCCGTGCCCCACCGCGACTTCTACAACGTCCGCAAGGTCGACACGCACGTGCACCACGGTGTGGAAATCGACCGGCGAGCTGGGACGTCCCGACCAAACTTTGAAATTCTCGAGCTCGGTCAATTCGAAGTCGATTCGGCTGATTTTTGGACGAATCGATGGCTCTCATCGAGTTCTCGAAGCACGGCCGAAGAGGCTGGTCCAAACCGTTCGATTACGCGCACATTGAAGTCGGTGTGAAGATTTGATGTCCACGCAGGTCCACCACAGCGCGTGCATGAACCAGAAGCACTTGTTGCGCTTCATCAAGAGCAAGCTGCGCAAGCACGGCAACGAGATCGTCACGAACCGCGACGGCCACCTCCTCACGCTCGCGGACGTCTTCAAGTCGCTCAAGCTCACGGCCTACGACCTCTCCATCGACACGCTGGACATGCACGCGCACGACACGTTCCACCGCTTCGACCGCTTCAACCTCAAGTACAACCCCGCGGGCCAGAGCCGGCTCCGGGAGATCTTCCTCAAGACGGACAACCACGTCCGCGGCCGCTACCTCGCGGAGCTCACGAAGGAGGTCATCAACGATTTGGAGGCGTCCAAGTACCAGCTCGCCGAGTGGCGCGTGTCCGTCTACGGCCGCAAGCGCAGCGAGTGGGCCAAGCTCGCGGACTGGTTCTACGACAACCGCCTCTCGAGCCCGAACGTGCGCTGGATGATCCAGGTGCCGCGGCTCTACGCGGTCTACCGCGCGTCGGGCCTCGTCGAAACGTTCGACGAGGTGCTGGCGAACATCTTCGCGCCGCTCTTCGAGAACACGCTGGACCCGTCGTCGAACCCGAAGCTCCACGCCTTCCTCGAGGCCATCGTCGGCTTCGACTCCGTCGACGACGAGTCGAAGCCCGACGGCATGCCCCTCGACCCGAACCGCCTCGTGGCGCCCGGGGACTGGAACTCGACGGACGAGCCGGCCTACGGGTACTGGATGTACCACCTCTACGCGAACCTGCGGAGCCTGAACGGCCTGCGGCGCGCGCGGGGGCTGTCGACCTTCGAGTTCCGGCCGCACTGCGGCGAGGCCGGCGACGTCGACCACCTCGTCGCCGCGTTCCTGCTGACGACGAAGATCAACCACGGCGTCCAGCTCCGCCGGTCGCCGGCGCTCCAGTACCTCTACTACCTCGCCCAGCTCGGCGTCGCCATGTCGCCCCTGTCGAACAACCGGCTCTTCCTCGACTTTGCGAAGTCGCCGTTCCCAAAGTACTTCAAGCGCGGCCTCAACATCAGCCTCTCGACCGACGACCCGCTCATGCTCCACTTCACCAAGGACCCGCTGGTCGAGGAGTACTCCGTCGCGGCCCAGGTCTGGAAGCTGTCGTCGACGGACATCTGCGAGATCGCGCGGACGTCCGTGCTCCAGTCCGGCGTCGAGGACCGCTTCAAGCGCCACTTCCTCGGCGACCACTACGACGCGCCGGGCGCCGCGGGCAACGACATCCGCATGACCAACGTGCCCGACATCCGCGTCATGTACCGCCACGAGACGCTCACGAACGAGCTCGCCTACGTCGCCAAGCTCTCGAGCCGCGCGGTCCCGCCCCCGCCGAAGTAGGGCGTCCGCCGTCGTGGCTAGTGCGAGCGGGCGCGCGCGGGGGGGAGGCGCCGACGGGAAGTACGCCGCTCAGCAGTTGGAGCAGGAGCTCGCGCTCTGCTGGTCGTCGCGGAAGCCCGCGGCGCGCGCGGCGAGGCTGAGGCCGCGGCCGCCGGGCCCGCCGCCGCCGCCGCGGGGCGCGCCGGGCGTCGAGCAGAGCTCCTGGCCGCGGAGCTTGATGACGTGCTCGCTCACGGCGGCGAAGAGCTCCGCGACGCCGAAGTTCTCCTTGGCGCTCGTGTCCAAAACGATGGCGCTGATGGACCGCGCGAACTGCTCCGCGCGCGCGCGCGACACCTGGCGCGTGTCGAGGTCCGCCTTGTTGCACGCGATGGCGATGACCAGGTTCTTGTCGACGACGTTCGTCTTCAGCTCCTCGACCCAGTCCTTCATCGTGTTGAACGTCGACTCGTCCGTGACGTCGAAGCAGACGATCGCCGCCGCCGCGTTCCGGTAGTACATGGGCGCCATCGCGCGGAACCGCTCCTGCCCCGCCGTGTCCCAGATCTGGATTTTGCACGCGTCGCCCTGCGCGGTGACGATTTTTTTCGTGAGGAAGAACGCGCCGATCGTGCTCTGTTGCCTGCGCGCGCGGGGGACCGGGAGTCTCGGCGCGCGCGGCGCCGCGGCCGCGCGCGCGCGAGACGCGCCTCGAGTTGTACAGGCCCTCGATGAAGCGCAGCACGAGGCAGGTCTTGCCGACGCCGCGGTCGCCTGCGCGGCGCGGGTTCTCGCGGGCGGCCCGCGCGGGCGGCGGCGCGGGCGACGCACCCAGCAGCACGATCTTAAACTCGTAGTTCTTTTGCGACAGCTCGGCCATCGCGGTCGCGGCAGCCCTGGCGGCGAGGCGGGGGACCCCACACGCCGGCTCGGGCCGGAAGGCGCGCGCGGTGGCCGACCTCGGCCGGGCTGCCGACGGTCCTGTTTGCAGACGACGCCTGTACAGCTGTGGCAATGGTCGATGTGACGGCCTCGAGGGCAATTGCTGCATGTTGATTGGGCGAGCCCCCCCGCCGCTCATGTGCGCCGCCTCGGGAGGCGGCCTGCGCCCGCAACCCTCGCAGGCCTCCTCACGCGGTGCGACCGTCGCTCGCCGACGCGACGACCGCCAGCCCCTCCCCCCTCCGAGCGGCGTAGCCCGGACGCTGTTAGAGCGCGCCGGCGACGACGGCGCCGCGACCGGCGCGGCCGCGGCCTAGGCCTTGGAGCGGTACTCGAACTTGGCGAAGATCTCGTTGAAGCGGTGGTCCGGGATGTCCATCTTGTGGACCGTGGCGGACGCCTCGGGCTGGATGTCGTCCCAGGCGACGGCCTCGTCCGCGCCGACGTCGTCGCCGGAGACGAGCGTCCTCGGCGAGAACGGCGGCTCGACCTGCTTCGCGAGGAGCGCGTCGAAGTCGACCATGGCGAAGAACTTGTGGGTCTTGAGCGCGGCGGCGCCGAGGTCCGTGCCGAGGCGCACGGCGTTGTCCTTGTGGAGGAGGCCCCGGAGGAGGTGCTCGCCGTCCTTGGAGAGCCGCGGCTTCACGCCTGGGCAGCAAAAGGGTGATTCAATGTCGCTTCAACGTGAGTGTTCCGCGCGCGCGCGTTACGGAAAAAGCATCCACGCTTCGAGACCGTTCCGAAAGATGATCGCTCGTCCAAAAATCAGCCAAAACGAGTGGAAAACGGCCGAGATAGGAGCCTTTGAAGTTGGGAATTTCGCACCCTTTTGCTGCCCTGCTTCACGCCGCGGGGCATCTTCAGCGGCGCCGTCGTGATGCGCTCGAAGAGCTTCTTGCGGTCCCGGTCTTTCGAGGGCGACGTGTACCAGGGCGGCTGGCCCCCGAGGAGCTCGTAGAGGAGGCAGCCCGTCGTCCACCAGTCCGCGGCCAGGCCGTGCTCGTGCGTGCCGCGGAGGATCTCCGGCGCGAGGTACTCGGGCGTGCCGCACATGGACCGCGCGCCCTTGAGGGGGTCGTGGACGCCCGGCTTCGAGAGGCCAAAGTCGGAGATGGTCACGTGGCCGTCCGCGTTGATGAGCACGTTCTCGGGCTTCAGATCGCGGTAGAGCACGTCGTTGCCGTGGAGGAACTCGAGGGCCAGCAGCGACTCGGCCACGTAGAAGCGCGCGGCCTGCTCCGGGAACTTGCGCCCGAAGGTCTTGCCCGTGAAGGACCCGCTGTCGTGGTTCGTGATCAATTGGAAGAGCTCGCCGCACGGCGCGAGCTCCAGCACGAGACACAGGCACTTGGGCGTGACGAACGCGTAGCGCATCTTGACCACGAAGGGGTGGGCGCCGAGCTGGCCGTTGATCATGCGCTCGTTGCGCGCGCGCTCCCGCAGCTTCGAGTTGTAGAGCAGCTTCTTGTGGAGCACCTTCATCGCGAACGTGCCGCCCGACGCGACGTGCGTCGTCAGGAGCACCTCGCCGAAGCGGCCCCGCCCGAGATGCCTCCGCGGCTTGAAGTCCGCCGGCCCCAACGGCGGCACGGCGGGGACCGCCGGCGCCGCCGCGCGGCTCGACGCCGCGGACGACCGCGCCGCGTCCGACGAAGCCGCCGCGCCGCCGTCGCGCGCCTTCCGCCCGAAGGGGCTCGCGACGCCGGCGAACCAGGACCCGCGCTTCTCGGTCGCGTTCGCGCGCGCGACCTCGCCCCGCACGTAGCCCTCGTTCGCGCGGCCCGACGCGATGCCGAGGTCCCCGGCGACGCGCGCGCCGCCGGCGCTCGCCGCGAGCAGGTCCGCCTCGCTCGCGGCGCTCAGGGGGTCCTCGCGGCTCGCGTCGAAGGACGCGTAGCGGTGCGGGCCCTTCTTCGCCGCGCTACGCGTCTGGTAGTCGTCCTCCCACCAGTAGGCGCCTGCGGCGGAGGGGCGGCCGTTCCGCGGCGGGCGCGCGGGGCGCGGGGGCGGAGAAGCGCACCGGGGAAGCCGAACGCGGCCGCGATGGGATTTCGCTCATCGGACGACGCGCCGAAGAGCGACATGGGCTCCTGGGGGCTCTCCCCACCCAGCCCAGGACGCTCTGCGAGCGGCCACCTCGCACTATTTTTGGCCGGAGCTCGCTAAACTTTACAGGCACCTTGACCTAGTCTTGAACTCAACGTAGGCGATGGAATGCGAACGCGTGTGACCCTGGACATAACGAGGCAACCTCGCCACACTGCAGCCGTTCCGAAAGCGACACCCCTTTCCGCGAAAGGCATGGTGATGGTGATCTAGAATCCAAAGCAGGCCCGGGCCTTACTTCGCGGCCGGTTCGCCCGGCGGCGCGGTCGGGAGGCGGCGGCCGACGATGACGGCCCAGGAGTAGACGAGGCTCGCGAGGCAGGACAGGGTGATGCCGCCGAAGTTGAGGTAGGAGTAGGAGTAGTCGCCGCCGAGGAACATGCCGACGTAGGTCGTCGCGACGTTTTTCAGCGCGCCGACGACGGTCGTCGTGAGCGCGGAGTTGTGCTGCGTGCAGACGAAGATGGCGTACTGGAGCACGGGCCCCAGGGACGCCGACAGGGCCAGGGCCGCCACGGGGTGGCCGCCCGCGTGCGCCGACGGCGCGTCCTCGAGCCAGACGCGCGCCTCCGCGAGCTCGCCCGTGTACGCGAGGTAGGGCGCGAGCACGGCGCCGCCGAGGAGGGCGTTGTAGAAGAGGAGGCTCAGCTTCGAGAGCTTCGGCGGCGGCCTGGGCGCCGCCGGGTCCTGGGCCTCGACGTCCTTCTTCTCCGAGGACCGCGGCGCGCGCGTCACCGACGGCAGCGCGGCCTTGACGTAGACGCCCCGCAGCGCCGTGAAGAGGTCGTTGAGCAGGACGGCGGCGTAGCCCTTGGCGTCGAAGGCGAGGTCGTCGTAGGCCGCGACGACCGCGCCGCCGACCATGCCCCAGACCGACGCCTGCACCAAGGGCGACGGGTTCGCCTGGCCCACGAAGCGCTCCAGGAGCATGGTGCAGGGGATGCTGAAGCGCCGGAGCACCGTGAACATGGGCAGGCTCAGCGACCCCGTCGCGAAGAGGCCCATGAGCACGTCCGCGACGAAGAGCGCCGTGAGGGGCACGACGACGCGGAACGAGTCGGCCGTCGGCGGCGCGAGCTCGACGGCGCCCGCGAGCGCGAGCGCGCCGAGGCAGGCGCAGGTCACGGCGAACTGGGCCAGGGCCAGCGCGCTCGAGCTCGGGAACGCGTACGTCGTCAGCGTGATCTTGTTGCACGCGATGATGCCGATGGATGTCGCGCCGTAGAACAGCGCCGTCGGCAGCGCCAGCGGCGACCGGCCGGGGTGCGCCGCGACGGCCGACGACGACGCCGCGCCCGACGTCCCCGCCTCGGCGCCCGTGAGCTTCTCCAGCTCCTCCGTCGTCGCCGACAGAAAGTTCTCGCGGCTCGCCGACGACGGCATGGCGCCGCCCTTGCGCGACGCCAGGGTCGACGAGCGGCGGGCCGGGACCGCGGCGGCCGACCAGCAGGCGAACGCGAGCAGACGTATGGCCGCGACGGGACGGGCGCCGACTTTTACGCGTCGAGGGCGGGATCGCGTGCCTGCCACAAGTGGTTCACGATTGCTGAAACTTTGGCCTCGGCGATTGGCCTCGGCCTACTCTTATGGCAGCGTCGTCGTCGTCGTGAAGTAGGGTCGCAGCACATATCGCATCCAGCGGCGTCGTGAAGCCCGTCGCAGCAATACATCCAAACATGGCTCGCACACTCGTCATACTCATCGTCGCGCTGCCGTCGCTCGCCGTCGCGCTGCGGCCGCTGCTGCGGCGGCTCCGGACGCCGCCGCCGCGCGACGTGACCGTCGTGAAGCTCGGCGGCAGCGCCATCACGGACAAGGCCCGCTTCGAGACGCTGGACGAGGCCGGCCTGCGCGCGGCGGCGGAGGCCGTCCGGCGCTGCGTCGCCGACGGGCGGCGCGTCGTCGTCGTCCACGGCGCGGGCTCCTTCGGCCACTTCCAGGCGCGCGAGCACGGCGTGTCCCGCGGCGGCGACGGCGACTCGTGGCGCCTCGGGCTGGCGGTGACGCGGCGGTCCGTGACGAAGCTCAACGGCCTCGTCGTCGACGCGCTCGCGCGCGCGGGCGTGCCCGCCGTCGCCGTCGCCGCGTTCCCGCGCGTCGCGACGCGGCGCCGCGAGCTCCGCGCGACGCGGGCGACGGCGGCCTTCGTCGCCGACGCGCTGCGCCTGGCGGACGCCGGCTTCACGCCCGTGCTCCACGGCGACGCGGTCCTCGACGACGCGCAGCGCTGCGCCATCGTCTCCGGCGACGCGCTGCTGCGGCGCTGCGCCGCGGACCTCGCGGCGCGCGGCCGCCTCGCGGCGGTCTGCTTCCTCACGGACGTCGACGGCGTCTTCACGCGGCCGCCGGCGGAGCCCGGCGCGGCGCTCGTCGCCGACGTCGTCGTCGACGGCGCCGGCGCCGCGCGCCTCGACCTCGAGACGTCCGCCGCGGCCCACGACGTCACGGGCGGCATCCGCGCGAAGATCGACGCCGCGGCGGCCGTCGCCGCGGCGACGCGCGCGCCCGTGGACATCGTCCGCGCGACGTCCGCCGCGGACGTCGACGCCGCGCTCCGCGGCGCGCGGCCGCCGCGGGGCACGCGCATCCGGCCGGCGACTTAGCTAGCTACTGGGGCTTCGCCTTCTTGGGCTTGAGCTTGACGAGCGCGACCATCGCCGCCGCGCTGCCGAGCGCCATGACGAGGAAGAGCGGCGCGCGATCCGCCTTCGCCGGGTCGCCGCGCGCGCGCGCGAACTGCAGCGCGAAGACGGCCGTGAAGAGCGCGTTGAGCATGAGGCCGACGTGGACGGCGATCATCCACCGCCTGTAGGACGCGTCGCCCTTCCGCGGCTCCCCGAAGCTGCCGAGCCCGCAGAGCGCCATGAGCAGGCCGGAGCCCGCGCCGGCGTAGAGCGAGTGCATGACGGCCGGCGCGTAGCCGTGCGACGCCGCGCCGTACCAGCCGCAGCCGCCGAGGAACGCGCCGTAGCCGATGAACCTGCGGCGCGGCGCGGCGCGTCGTGTCATCGCCGCGCGTCGTGTGATCTCTGGATCGCGGCGCGTCGAGCGATCGCGGCGCGTTGCGAAAGACTGGATATCTCTGGACGCTGTACGCGGACGTTCTTGCGACGAGGCTCATGTCGGAGCACTGCGCCAGAGCGCTTTGTGGCGCCGGCTTTGGGATGGCTGGACCTTCAATGAGGCAGCATCGTGCCAGATTGAATGGGCAACGTGCATCGTCGGGATGCTGCCCGCCATCTCGACTGGTGTTCGCGCGTCGAACGCGTCAGCGATGGCGTGCGACCTCGCGTACGACGCCTTCATGGCGCTGCCCGACGACGCGCGCCGCGCGAACTACGAGGCGCTCGTGCGCGACGCGCGCTCGACGCAGCACAAGCCCATGCGGCGGGTGAACGCGCAGAAGCGCGAGCGGCTGCGGACGATGAAGGTGCTGATTCTCGACAACAGCCAGCGCGAGCCGTCGGTGGCTTCCGTCTGGGGCCACACGCTGGAGGACAAGCGGGCCATCGACGGCGTCGTGCGGGGCCTCGGCTTCCGGCACGTCGTCGCCGGCGCGCTGAACGACGCGGCCCAGGTCGACGACCAGTTCTGCGCGGAGCTCGGCGGCGACGCGGGGCCGACGAGCTTCTGGACCTTCTCCGAGTTCACGACGGCGCGCTCCGCGACGGCGCGCCCATCTTCGACGACGACCACGTGCCCGTCGGCCTGCGCAAGACGGCCGCGTACGGCCTGAAGCACGCGGTCCTCGAGGTCGACACGTGCGCCGCCTTTTGGGAGGACCGCGCGGTCTCCGCGTTCGCGGACGGCGTCGTCTTCTGGACGCGGTGGCTGCGCGGGGTCGCGGGGGGGCGACGCGCGGGTCATCGTGAACCTCCGGGACCTGGCCAAGGGCATGGTGCGGTGCCCGGACCGGTGCGTCGCGATGGTCGCGGCGCTCGCGGACCTCCCGCGTCACGTACGGCCCGCGTCGCTGCTCTTCGAGGAGCCCTTCGGCGAGTACCTGCCCTGCGAGGTCGGCGGCTGGACCGCGCTGCTCCGGGCGACGATGGACGCGCACGGCTGGCCGTCGGCCTTCCAGGAGGACGGCGCGTCCATCGACGGCGCGCTCCTCATCCACGTGCACCGCCAGTGGGGCCTCGCGGACGCGGTGACGCTCGACGCGCTCGCCGCGGGCTGCGACGGGCTCATGGCCGCGGTCTGCGAGGAGGGCGCGGCGCTCGGCCACGCGTGCAGCGCCGTCGCGCTCGCGAACCTCGCGCGCCTCGGCAACCGCGACGTCGTCGCGCGCTACGACCTCCGCGGCGTCGTCGACGCCGCGCGCGCCGTGACGCGGCTGACGACGGGCGCGCCCGTCGCCGTGCGCCAGGTCGTCTACGGGCCCCGCGCCATCGAGGCCGTCTTCGGCTTCACGGCCGTCGGCGGCGGCGTCGTCGACCGCACCTTCGACCGCGACGCGAGCGGCACCGCGGCGGACGCGGTCTTCCTCGCGGACATTTTGGGCGTCGCGGAGAAGCCCGTGCGGCTCCACACGCTCGCGACGCCCGCGCAGTTCGCCGCGCGGCTCGCGCAGTGCTTCGGCGCGCACGCGAGCTTCGACGACGCGCTCGGCGCGCGGCTCAAGCGCGGCCTCCTGGCCCTGCTCGCGGCCGGCGACAAGGCCGAGTGCACGTCGCCGCTGGGCCTCGCGCTCCTGCACCAGCGCGTCGAGGGCGGGCTCACGCCGGCGATGATCGACTGCGTCAAGGACGCCGACGCGGTCGAGCGGGGCAGCGCGGTGCTGCTGGCGCGGGCCGAGGCCTGCTTCGACGAGGCCGCGGCCGACGCCGGCGGCGCCGGGGGGCTGCCCTACGGCGCCTTCGCCGAGCGCTTCGTCGACGCGTACCTCGGCGCGCGCCACAACACCTTCGGGGCCGACGTCGGCGACAAGGTGCGCGACGCGGTGCGCCGGAGCTTCGACCTCGACGGCGACCGGCGCATCACCTTCGACGAGTACAGCGTCTGGCTGCTCTGGGCGCTCCGGAGCACGCAGGACGACATCCACAGCGTCGACGACCTCTTCGCGGCCGTCGTGCGGCGCGGCATCATGCCCGGGCTCATGGGGGGGGACTAAGGGCCGAGAGAGGGTCGCCGGGAAGGCCGCAGGAGGGCTCGCAGGCTGGGCGAGATGCGGCCGCACGCCTCGACGAGAGGACGCAGGACAACCAAGCTCTTGTGGACCGAGACTCGTATCTGCGACGTCGCGGTCCGTGCATTATCGACATGCCGGGCCCCGGGGGCGGCTTCCACGTCGACGTGCGGTGGCTCGGGTCCATGGACCAACCATCCGACGACACGCTCCTCGAGCCGCTGCCATTCAAAAATCAAAAGGCGGACAAGGCCGTGAAGTACTACGCCGAGCGGCTCTTCGCCATTCACGGCGATAAACTTCCCGGCAGCGACGCGGGCACATTCCTCAAGGAGGCCGTGGCGTACCGAGGGCCGCTCGACGGCGACGAGACCAAAGAGGGCGCGGCCGTCGCGCTCGACGACGTCGTCTCGGATTCGTCGAGACTGACTTTGCGACCGCGGATCCCCGAGAAGGACGCGGTGCTCATGGTCGTGTATGCGCGCGCGGAGGGGAAAACCTCGGTCTTCCACGTCCTGCCCAAAAAATTGCCCGTGACCGAGTTTGGCGCGTTCAGCTGCCACGACGTCGTGCGGCACGCCGCGCCGGGCCGAGCGCGCGAGGACCTGGATTTTTACGTTTTGTCGGGATACAGCAACGAGGACATGGTGGCTGTAGAGGAGAGCGAACTCAGGGCAGACTACAATGCCGGTCGCTTGGTCCGCGTGGACGCGTCCACGCGCGTCTCCGAGATCGTCGAGCCGCACCGCGGCCGGCGCCGATGCCACGTGCTCATCTTCGAGAAGCCCTGCATGCGGCTTCAATTGCTGGTAACCCAGCCCGGCGAAGACGACGTGGGTATGTGGACCGCTTTGCAGCCCGACCACTTAGACACCGAGTGCGTGCATTTCGTTGCACGCTTCGTCGCGCCTCAATTAGAAGACAACGACCACAGAGTGATGTCTGAAGCAGCATCGCGCAGCTTGCCGACTGCACTGCTGGAGCTGGAGGCGGGCGGGCATATGAAGGCCTACGTCGAGCTGGTGACTCGCCGAGGCGCTCGCGGTCCGCGTTCTTCGCAGCCGTTGGCCTCGCCTGTCATCCTGGACTCGTCCCATGATCTCTGCGGCGCCATGATTTACCTGCGCGTCGAGGCCGAGGCAGGCGACGTGTGGCTCAAGCTGGTTGGGGAGAAGCTTCTTGAGATGCTGCAACGCCCCGCCTCAAACGGCCGGCTCTTCGTCCAATTTGCTGACAGTTTGGGGCCCATCGAGAGGGCGCCGATCATTCCGTTGCGCGCCGACGTGATGGGCGTGCCGTTCATCGGCTTGGCGAAGTACGCGCTCGAAGACCTCGTCAAGAAGGGTTACACGAACGCGGAAGACGTCCGGGCCCTGCATTGGCCGAGCCGCGCGAGGCTCTGGACCGCGCCCAAGAATGGGCCCTCACTGTCCGAGTTCTCAGCCGCAGGCGAATTTGACAAAGACGACCCTTCTCTCCAGGATGTGGTCATGTCTGACTCCATGGATTCCGTGCTCAAAGTCTCGCCGACGCGCGGCGACCTCGGGCCCGAGAGCGTGCATTGCATCGAGGTGATTTTGCCCTATGACGTCTTTTCAGCCACGACGATTGGTCTCAAGGCGTCGAATCTGAGCGGTGATTCGAGCTCCGGCCTCATTTTAGCTGTGACGACGCGTGCGAAGGCGACGCTCAACGGTTCCACACTCGAGATCTTCCAGAGGTGGCTCGGGGAGTTCGACGACTCCGCCGAGCACTCTACGGACGATACCGTCACTCTCGTGCGTGCCCTGCTGAACCCCCATCTCACCCAGACCTACCTCGAGCATTTGAAGATCGCGCTGTTGACTGACGAGCGAGAGCCGGTCCGAATCCACGACTTCGAAAAGCCCTTGATGCTCGCGGAGAACGGCAAGCCGCCCGAGGAGGTCATCTTCGAGTTATGCCTCGACACTGCCGCCGTGCGTCAAGCGGAGGTGTCCGCGAGCTTCGACGTGCCGATCCAGGGTCACGCGACGAAGCAGAAAAAGACGAAGAAGAAAAAGAAGGCGAAGAAGAAGGCGAAGGCTAAGGCCGGGAAGGAGGCCGAGAGCCGAGCGACCCCGGAGATTGACGAAACCTCGTCGCACACCGCGCCGCCTGTCGCCGAGCGCGACGCCGTCGGCGGCGCTTCGAGCGATTCGGACTCGGATTCGGACGCGACTTTTACGACGGCGCCGGCGCCGGAGTTGTCCACGGCGGCGCCGTCAACGGCCGCCGCGGACGATTTCGACGACTGGGTCGACGTGTCCGCGTCGCGGCGCGGTAGGGGCGCCGCCAACCGCTCCGATGCGCCGCCGCCGCCGCCGCCGCCGCTGCCCTCGCCCGGTGCCTTCGCGGAGGAGTCGCCGCGCGTCGTCGATCCCGAGGAGGAGTGGCGCGCGAGCTTTGAGCGCGCGGAGGCCGAGCGGCTGCAGGCGGAGGAGCGGCGGCAGTACGACGAGTCCGAGGCGCTCGCGCGGCGGCTCGAGGCCGAGGAGGTGCGGCGAGCCGAGGAGGCGCGCGCGCAAGACGCGCTGCTTGAGGCCGAGGAGGAGGCCAAGCGCGACGCGAGTGCTTCGGGCGCCGAGGAGGAGAAGCACGCGGACGTCGACTTGAACGATGCCAGGGTCGTCGAGATCCTCGAGGGGTCGGGAAACGTGAGCCTAGTCCCTCTGTTCCGCGAACATTTGATCGACGACAGCGTGCTCCCCCATCTCGCGGTGGAGGATCTGACGGAAATCGGCCTGGCACCGCCCACGGCCCTGCACGTCTTCGCCGCCATCAACGTCTCTCGCATGGCCGCGTCCAAGCTCGCCGTCAACGAGGTCATGGACGACTCCGCGCGCCACCAGGCCGCCCTCGAAGCGGAGCTCAAGGAGCATCGCGCTGAGCTCAAGCGCCTCCGGCTGCGCCGCGAGGACGTGCCCGACAAGCTAGTGTGCCAAATCACGTTCGAGTTGATGAAGGATCCAGTTATGGCCGCCGACGGACATACTTTCGAGCGGGTCGCCATAGAGCAGTGGTTCGCGACGGGCAAGCGGACGTCGCCGGCGACGAACGAGCCCCTGCCGGACACTCGGCTGATCCCGAACCTTGCGGTGAAGTCCATGATCGCCGAACTCCTCGAGAAGAAATCTCGCGCGCTCTGCGACACGTAGACCACCGCCCGCCCCGCGATCTCCTCGGAATTTACCCCGAATAAAACTTTTTACGCGGCGAGCTCCCCCAGGACGTGGAGCACGAAGGGGAGCACGGTCTTGCGCGTGATGTCCGCGCGGAGCCGCGAGCAGCGCGGCGCGCCGTCGCCGTCCCCGAGGAGGGCCCCGAAGGCGAGGCCGAAGCCGTCCGTCGTGACGCGCTGCGTCGCGAAGAGCGGCAGCGCGAGGAGGTCGCCCGGGAGCCCCTCCGGCGCGGCCTCGAGGCGCCGCTCGAGGGCCGCGGCGTCGACGGCGCCGTCGCGGACGACGTAGGCGAGGCCCTTGGCGCCCTGCTCCGCGGCCGTCATCGCGAAGAGCACGTCGACGCCGCTCTTCGCCGCGAAGGCGCGGAGCGCGGCGCCGAGGGGCGCGCCGCCGCCCGCGCGGCGCGAAAAGTCCGACAGGGGCGCCATGATCGACGCGGCGCCGACGCGCAGGCGGCCGGCGCTCGCCCGCTTGTAGTCGAGGCGCAGGAGCTGGGGCGCGTCGAGCGCCGACACGTCCTTGCGCGCCGCGAGCAGCCGCTTCGCGAGGTCGCCGACGGTCGCGGCGCCGAGGACGGCGCAGGCCGCGGGCAGGGCGCGGCCGCGGAGCGCCGGCGCGCTCCCGTCCGGCGCCGGGTCGCCGCCGAGCGCGTCGAGGACCGCGTGGCCGAGCGCGACGTCGCGCGGCGAAAATTTCAGGCCCGCGTGCTTCGCGGCGAAGCCCCGGCAGTCGACGGCGACGGCGGCGAAGGCCAGGGCTAAAAGCCGCGCCGGCGGCTCGCCGCCCCGGGCCAGGAGCCGCTCCGCGAGCATGGTGCAGCAGGAGCCGCACGCGGCGTCGATTTCCCGGTCGCGCGCGTCCGCGTGCCGGCCCTCGTCCGCGTGGTGGTCGACGACGGCGACGACGGTCGCCGGCGACGCGAAGGCGAGCGACGCGTCGCCGCCGTCGAAGGCGTTGTGGTCCGTGAGCACGACCTCGCAGGCCGCGGCCGGCGCGGCCGCCGCCTCGTCGCCGAAGACGAGCGCCGACCGCGCGGGCGCGCCGCCCGCCGCTGCCGCGGCCGCGTCGTCGTGCGCGAGCGCGGCCTCGGCGTCGCGGCGCAGCGCGAGGTCCTCCCGCGGGAACCGCGCCAGGGCCGCGCCGCCGTAGAGCGCCGCCGCCGCCAGGGCCGACACGACGGAGTCGAGGTCGCCCGCGGCGTTGCCGAGGCAGACGCGGCCGCCGCCGGACGCCAGGAACGCGGCGCGCTGGACTGTTATCGTGTCGAAGGCGTCGGTCATCGCAAGGCGCGGGCGGTCCTGGTGGGGCTCGTCGTCGCGGCACTCTCTAAGAGCTTGCCATGCTTTCCTTGTGGTGAGGCGAGGCCTTCACGGTGCCGCTCCGCCCTCGCCCGGCCGCGGCGCCCGGCTACAGCCGTCGCCGCCGCCGCCCGCGAACAGAGACGAACCTCACAGTTCACATTACACAGGGAGGATCAGGCGAAGACGAGCCGCGACGTCGCCATGTAAGATCCATACAAACGAAACTTGGAGCCGACGGCGTCGACCTCGAGCGTCTCCTCGGCGCCGGACGGCTTCGCGAGGTCGAGCCACGACTCGCCGTCGTCGAGGCACACTTGCAAGGTCGCGTTGCTGAGGTAGGACCCGCCCCAGCCGTCGAGCGGCGCGACGGTGACTCCTCGGACGCGCACCGGCTCCTCGAAGGTCGCGCAGATTTCCGACGTCCCGGAGTACGTCCCGGTCCCCTCGTTCGTCGCTTCGGTCAGGAGCTTGGACGCGTCGTCGCTCGTGATCCCGTAGGATCCGGAGCCGTAGACGTTCGAAACGGACAGCGTCCAGGCCTTGCCGTCGACGGGCTGCCCTTCTAGGATTTGCGCGGGCTTGTAGCCCTTTTTGTGGTTTGTCTCGAAGAAGAAGCGAGAAGTTGCGACGTCCTTGCCGCGGAGCCTCCACACGCTCCCCGACGCGTCGATCTCCAGGTGATGTGTCGTCTCCTTCGTCCAAGTTCCGCTATCGGGCACCTCCGCGACGGTCTCCCAAGTTTCGTCGTCGTCGAGCAGGACCTCGAGGCGCGCGCCGGCCAGCTTGTCGGCCAGCGTTTCATCCGCGCCATACGAGCCACGGTTGAGCGCGGCCACGGTGACGCGCGAGACGCGGACGGGCGCCTCGAATCGCGCCAGGATGGCGCCGGAGTCTCCCCGGGTCGCGACGCCGACCGTGTCGTCCTGCACGAGGAGCGACCCGGCGTCGTCGCCGAAGCCGGCCTCGCCGTCGACGACCTCCAGCTCCCAGGCGACGTCGTCGCAGGGCGCCGTCGACGGCACCTGCTCGGGCCGGAAGCCCGCGGCGCGGTCGCACTCGAAGAAGAGGCGGCTCGTCGCCAGGTACGAGCCCGCGAGCCGCCATTCGGCGCCGACGGCGTCGACGGCGAGCCGCTCCTCGCCGCCGCTCGGCCTCGCCACGGCGCGCCAGGTGTCGCCGTCGAGGACCTCGAGCGCCGCGTTCCGCAGGTAGGTCGGCCCCCAGCCGTCGAGGGGCGCGACGGTGACCGCGCGGACGTGGACCGGCGCCGCGAACGTCGCGCGGATCTCCGACGCGCCCGCGCAGGTGCCCGCGCCCGCGTCCGTCGCCCGGGACAGCAGCTTCGACGCGTCGCTCGCCGTGATGCCGTAGGCGCCCGAGGCGTAGACGTTGGACACGGACAACGTCCAGGGCTCGCCGTCGCAGGGCCGCGCGCGCGAGAGCGTCGGCGGCGGCTCCAGGAGCGCGCGCCGCGGCGTGTCGCGCCAGGCCGCGGCGTCCGCCGGCGGCCGGTCGCCGTCGGCGCCGTCGGCGACGCAGACCGTGACGCCGTCGGGCGCGACCCAGGCCCAGCGCGCCGCGGCCGCGACGAACTCGACGGCCGCGCCGTTCGCCGACGCGTAGCGCGGTTTGCCGCCGCGCGCGCCCCGCACGTAGTAGTCGCCGTCGAGGTCCGCGTTGCCCGCGCCCGACGCCGTGAAGGCCGGCGGCTCCAGCGCGGCCGCCGCCGCGGCCTCGACCCCGGCGGCGAAGGAGCGTTCCGGCTCCGTGGCCCACGCGTTGCGCTCCGTGGCGAGCTCCGAGAGCCGCGACCGGTCGCCTTTGTCGTCGAGCCCCGGCTCGGGCCCCTCGAGGCGGTTGTCGCTGAGGAGCAGGGTCGCGAGGGCGTTGTCGTCGAGGAGCGCCGCGGGCGGCTCGCCGGCGAGCGCGTTGCGGCGGAGGTCCAGGACCGCGAGTCTCGGGAAGCGCCGTCTCGACCCGAGCGCGGCGGGGATGGGCCCGTCGAGCTCGTTGCCCCGGAGCGAGAGGCGCGCGAGCTTCGGGAAGTCGGCCTCGTCGCCCAGCGCCAGGGGCCCGCTCAGCCCGCAGGCCTCCATCTCCAGCACCTCGAGGCGCCGGAGGCCGCTCAGCGCGCCGAGCGGCGCGGGCCCGGACAGCGACAGCGCCAGCAGCGCGAGGCTCGCGAGCTTGGGCAGGTCCGCGAGCGCCGCCGGCACGACCCCTAAATCCCCCGCGCAGCCGTCGACGCGCAGTTTCTCGAGCGACGGCCGCAGCGCCGCGCAGGCCGCGCGCGAGAAGAGCGCGTCGAGGCGCGGGAGGCCGTCGACGCGCTCCAGGTGCAACGCCTTGAGCCGGCAGAAGCGGTCGCCCAGGCCCCGCGCGAGGGCCGCGCCGCACGCGCCGCCGGCGCCGACCAAATCCACCTCCTGGAGCTGGCCGCAGGCGACGCGGTCCGCGACGCAGACGGGCCGGTCGTCGTCGTCGTCGCACCGCGGCAGCGCGCGCGCGGTCAGCGACGTCGGCGTGCCCGCGTGGCGCTTCAGCAGCGGGTCGAAGAAGTGGATCACGCGCGCGGCCTCGTAGACCGCGTGGCCGCTGCCCTCCTTGATCTCGACGAAGGCCTCGAGGTTGAGCTGGACCTCGGCGACGACGTGGCCGACCTTCACGTTCGTCAGCACGTCGCGGTAGCCGCCGCTCGCGGCGTCCGCGTCGAAGCTCGCGTGGAGCCGGTTCTTCACGCGGATGACCTCGAGCGCCGCCGACGCGCCCAGGAGCTTCGCCGCGGCCTCGAGCGCGTCGAGGCCGTCGCACTGGAGCGTGCCCCGGAGCAGGTCCGTCAAACCGTCGTAGCGGCCGCCGTACTTCTCGTGGACCTTGGAGAACGCGCGGCCTAAACTCTTGATCGGCGCCAGGAGGACGACAACGGCGCTCCGGCCGAGCGCCGCGTCGACGGCCGCGCCGATCTTCAGCAATTCTGCGTCGTACGTCGGCTTCGCCGAGACCGCGTCGCGGAGCAAACCCAGGGAAAATCGCACGTCGAAGGGGTCACGCGGCTTCGGCGCGTCGCGGCCCGGCCCGAAGAACTCGCGCATGGCCGCGAGGCTCAGCGTCTGCCGCTCCTTGTCTTTTTCGGCGCCCGCGTCGAGCGCGCCGAGCGCCGCGTGGACGGCCTCGAAGCCCGCCGGGTCTTTCCGCGTCAGGTCGCCGTAGAGGGCCCGGTACCGCGCGCGCGTCGCGTCGAGGTCCGGCGCGATGGTCGACACCGTGGACACGAAGATGTGCTCCGAGAGCCGCGCGAGGGCCGCGTCGCGGCCCGCGACCTTCTTGGCCCGCGCCTTCCTCAGCGCGGGCACGACGGCCTCGTCGACGCGCGCGCCGCCCGCGGTCGCGAGGTCCTCCAGCTGCGCGTCGATGGCGCGGAGCTCCAGCGAGCCGATGGCGACGGCCTTCTGCAGGGCGTCGACCTCGAAGAGGCGGAGCTCGAGGGGCGTCGGGAACTCGTAGTCCGCGGGCTTCGCCGGCGGCGCCGCGCGCTCGAGCTGCCACGCGGCGTCGGTCTCGCCCCGGTCGTCGACCCAGCCGTCGCCCGGGGGCACGGCCTCCTCGCTGCCGGGCGCGGCGCAGACGGCGACGCCGTCGCGGTCGACCCAGGTCCAGCCCCCGGGCCGGCGCTCGAGCGTCGCGCCGTCCGGCGACCGCCAGACGCCGAAGCCGCCGAGCGTCGCGCCCGACGCCTCGTAGGCGCCCGCCAGCGGCGACCCCGCCGGCGCGACGAGCACCGGCGGCGCCGCCGCGGCGCCCGGCGAGCACTCGTCGAGCCACGTCTCCGCGCGCGTGCGGTACGCCGCGGACCGCAGCGCGTCGTCGCCCTCGAGGAGCTGGCCCGTGACCTCGGCGACGGCGGCCTCGTCCGCCCAGGCCTCGCCCGCGAGGCTCGCGAGGCCCGCCCTGAGGGCCTTGGACCGCCTGTGGACGTCGCAGCCCGACGCGGCCGTGCCCCGCGCGGCCTCGGGCGGCGCGCGGGCCTCGCGGAGCTCGTCGAAGCGCCTCCTGCGCGCGGCGTTCTCCGCCTCGAGCGCGAGGCCCTCGGCGCGCGACGCGTCGGAGCGCGCGCGCCGCTCCGCGTGCTCCGCCTCCAGGCGCTCCGTCTCCGCGCCCAGCGCGCGCATGCGCGTGTAGACGCCGACGATGGCCTCGCGCGCGCGCCGCCGCTCCTCCGCGAGCGCCGCCTCGTCGCGCCGGAGCTCCGCGACCTCCCGCTTCAGGTCGTCGACGGCCCCGCGCAGCCCGAGCCGCTCCCCGTCGAGCGCCTCGAGCCGGCGCGCGAGCCGGTCGCTCTTCGCGGCCTCGCGCGACGCGTCGTCGAGCGCGCGCGCCTTGTCGACCTCGGCCTCGGCCGCCGCGCGCTTGAGCGCGCGGACGCGCGCCGCGGCGGCCTCCGCGGCGGCGTCGCAGTCCCGGAGCTGCTTCGACAGCGCGGCGTTCTTCTCGATCTCCTCCGCGCGCTCCCGGATCAAACCGTCGCGCTCCCCGAGCGCGCGGCCCAGGTCGTCGCGCGCCTTGGCGACGAGGCGCGTCGCGGACTCGCCCGCGTCGCCGTCGCCGGACAGCGCCGCGGCCTCGTCGACCGCGAGGCGCGCGAGGCCCGCGAGGTCCTCGCCGCCGTCCCGCGGCGCCCCAGAGTCCTCGGCGAAGCCCGCGCGCCGCGCCTCCGCCGCCGCCGCCGCGCGCTGCGCGAGGCTCGACGCGCGGCGCCACGCGTCGACCTCGCCGACGGGCCGCGCGGCCGCGGACCGGGGCCGCGCGCCGGCGGACCTGGGCCGCGGCTTCACGCGCCGCTGGGGCGACGCGGGCCACCGCTTCGCCGCCGGGCTGCCGGGCGTCCCGAGGCGCAGCAAACCCGACGACGTGCCCTTCTGGCGGCCGCGCGCCTTCTCGACGAGCGATGCGACGGCGACGGCCGCGTCCTTGCGCGCGGCCGCCTCGACCTTGGCCGCGACGCCGCGGCCCCGCAGCTCGCCGGCGCGCGCGATGCGCTTCCGCGCCATGCCCAGGCAGTGCTCGCCGCGGCCGTTGGGCTGCATGACGTCCGCGCCGAGCTCGACGCACGCCTCGACGCATCGCGCGTCACCGCCGTTGCGGATGAGCATGTGCAGGAGCGAGTCGCCGTCGACGACCTCGACGGCGTCGCGCACGACGGCGTCGGCGCCGAAGCGGAAGGAGCCGTCGCCCCGGGCCTCGACCGTCGTCAGCACGGACGCGCCGGACCGCAGGAACGCGCTGCGCAGGCAGCGGAAGGCGAACTCGCCGTCGCCCTCGGCGGCGAGCTCCACGGCGCGCAGCGCCTCCTCCTCCCAGGGATCGGCCATGACGCCGCGCCCGGGCAGCCGAGCGCGCGTCGCGCGTCGCGCGTCGGGCTGCCCAAGATCGTAGGCGTCGGCAGCCGAGCAGCGCCGCGTCGCGTCGGGCTGCCCAAGATTGCGGCGTTCTAATTCGAGCGCTCCGTTTGTCAGCTAGTCGGCACGCTGCCGTCAACGTTATGAAAGTGCACCCATTATTCGACGTCGTCGTCGCCCCAGATGTCGCTCGTGCTGTTGCTCCACTTGCCGTTGTGGAAGAAGCCGTCGGACCAGGTCGGGACGGACACGCGGCCGCGCGGGTCGTCGAGGCCGCAGCCGCGCATCGCGGCCTCGTACTCGCCGGCGTACTTGAAGCAGATGGGCGCCGGGTCGTCGATGCAGCCCTTGACCTGGGACCAGCGGCTGTGGTCCGCCTCGCCGCTGCCCGTGAACATGGACCGCGCGAAGCGCGCCGTGCGCCGGAGGAGCCGCATCTCCGCGAGCCGGCGGCGGAAGAGCATCTCCGGGTTGCCGACGAAGTCGAGGTAGCGGTCCGGGAAGGAGACGACGGGCCGCATGATGTCCAGGGCCTGGAGCACGAGGTCGGAGGGAGCCACGAGGAACCGGTCGCAGAGCCCGCCGTAGTCCTCGCCGTAGGGGATCCAGAGCAGCGACGGCTCGAGCGCCGCGAGGTCGAGCGCGCAGGGGTAGAACTGGTCCGTGCGCGTCACGACGAAGCGGTCGTAGATGTTCTGGAGCTTGTGCTCGGCGATGGTCCGCGCGAGCCGGAACTTGAAGAAGGGGATGATGACGCCGTTGCCCTCCTTCGGGTACGCGCCGCCCAGCGCGAGCGTCGACGCCTCCGTGTTGTTCTCCGCGACGGCGCGCCAGTTCGTCGACGACCCGCCCATGGCGGCGACGGCGTCCTCCCAGTCCTCAAAGTCGTCGACGGGCCAGGCGTAGCTCGCGCGGTCGTAGAGCGCGCGCGCGCCGGCGACGCGCTCGCTCTGCCGGTTGAGCATCAACGCGAGGTCCGCGTCGTTGGGGAGCAGCACGTTGTCCAGGAGGCTCCGCCAGGCCGCCTCGCCGCCCCGCGCGGACCCGAGCAGCACGACGAGCGTCCTCGGCTTCGCCGGTGTCCTCCGCGGCGGCGGCGGCGGCGGCGGCGCGTCGTCGGCCGGGGGCGCGCGGCGCGCGGGCGGGCACCGCGACCAGCGCGTCGGCTCGCAGGGCGGCGCCGGCGGCCGCCAGACGAGGTTCAACCGGTGGCAGCAGGGCCCCGCCATGGCCGTGCCGTCCTCGAAGCGGTAGACGACCTCCGGCGCGCGGGCCCGGTCGTCGGCGTCGGCGACCTCGTCGTCGCCGAAGGCGCCCGCGGCGACGCCGTGGCGCCAGATGACGAAGCCCGCGTCGAGCAGCTTCGCTAAGAGGTCGCCCGCGCGCCGGTTGAAGGCGTCCGTCGCGTTCGCGCCCGCGGGATGGAACTGGGACACGTGCGCGTACTTGGACGGCGCGGGCACGCGCACGCGCTTCACGAAGCCGCGGCCCTCCTCGCTCGTCGCGCGCGCGAAGACGACGGCCGGATCGCGGGACGGCGCGTCGCTCCGCGGCCGCAGGTGGGCCCGGAGGACGATCTGCCGCGCGAGCGCGCCGTCGCGGAGCCGCTTTGACAGCTCCGCGTCCGCGAAGAGGCCCTCGAGGACGGACCACTCCTCGCCCGTGCCCGTTAATTCGAGAACGTCGAGCACGGCGGGGTTGCCGACGCCGTCGAGGAGCGCGGGCGAGTAGACGCGGCGCAGCGCCGTGCCGAGCGTGATCGTCCGGACGCGGTCGACGCTCTGGCGGCCGTAGTCCTCGCCGGGCCACTGGAAGGGCACGCCGGGGAACTTGTAGGCCGCGTCCGCCGCGCCTAACACCCAGTCGTGGAACTCGCCGCCGAGGCTCGCCCACCGGCCCGTCGGCCGCCGGACGAGGCCCCGGAGGTAGTGGCTCGCGCACTGCACGCGCGCGCCGACCTTGGCCGCGAGCTCCGGCGAGATCGTGCTCCAGACGATGCAGGCGCTCGTCGTGTTCGGCGGCGGGCCCGTGCCCGGCCGGCAGCGGCCCGCGGCGGGCACCTTGCGCTTGCACCGCGGGAAGTCCTGCCGCGGGTCCTCGCACTCGAGCTCGGGGATGCACGCCACGGGCGGATCCCAGCCCCGCGGGCCGTCGTCGGCGCAGAGCAGCGTCCCGAAGGGCCGCTGGCAGTGCGCGTTGCGCGCCCGGCCCAGCAGCAGGCGCCGCACCATGCCGTCGGCCGCCGACCGCGCCGGAGGCGCGGAGCCGGCACCGCAGGCCGACCGCAGGAGGAGCAGCAGCGCGACGATCGCCATGCCGCGGTCGCTAGGGCATGCGCAGGCGGCGCGAACGCGTTCGCGACGCGTCAGGGCCGCGATTCAGGCCGATAACTCCCATGCGCTGCCCCCTTGTGCATGCACAAACAAACCGCCGACGTTGCAGACTTCGTTGCAGTCAGCCGAGTGCAAGCTCGCGCGCTCGCCCTCGGGAGCCTAACAGGATAAGGTTAATAGTCCGCGTCCGCCTCGCTCAAGACCATGGGCGCGGGCTCGGGATGGAGCTTCGCGGACCCGCTGTGCCCCCCCTTGCTGTCGCCGCGCTTGGGCCCGATGCCCATCTTGAGCGCGCCCTTGACCTTCTTCACGCCCTTGGACAGCGCCGTCTCGCGGATGCGGATGTGGCCCCGGAGCCTCTTGAGGCTCCTCATGAACTTGGCGTAGGCCACGAGCTTCACGCGGACGCGGACGAGCCGCTTGCTGAGCTCGCGGATGACGCGGCGCTGGTGGATGTCCGACGTGATGGCGAGGAGGATGGCCCGGTCCTCGTCGCCGTTGGCGAAGAGCTCGTCGAACTTGAGCGCGAAGAGCTCGCAGAACGTGACCGCGCGCACCGTCGCGTTGCGCTTGCCGTCGGGCTCGAGGATCGCGGCCTCGCCAAAGTGGTCGCCCGCGTGGAGGTGGCCGACGACGATGGCCGCGCCGAGGTCGTCGATGCACGCCGCCGTGAGCTCGCCGTGGGACACGAAGTACATGGACGTGCCGATCTCGCCCTGCGCGGCGACGATCTCGTCCGGCACGCAGATGAGCTGCTTCAGCGCCATGATGAGCCGGATCACGGAGAACTGGTCCAGGTCCTGGAAGACGGCGCAGGAGTGGATGAAGTGGCGCTTCGTCGCGATCGTGAGCCGCAGCCGGAGGCTGTCCGTCAGGTCGCTGAACAGATCCTCGTCGCGGTGGTCCGTCTCCCAGAGGTAGTCGTAGTACTCCGTGATCGTCTCGCTGAGCTCCTCGGGCACGGCGTGGGTCCGCATGTACTCGCGCACGCGCGTCATCTTCTCGCGGCGCCGCGTGGAGGACACGTCGCTGTTCGCGAGCATCGACGTGATCGAGCCCGTGATCATGGACGTCATCGTGATGCCCAGGATGAAGATGGTCACGTTGAAGAGCGCCTGCACGGCGTTGCTCGGGATCGTGTAGTTCCCCAAAATCGACGTGATGGACCAGTAGTACGCGTGCGCCCAGCGCTCGAAGATGCGGTGCTTCCGCCCGTGCGACGCGTAGTAGGCCCAGTAGCCGAGGTCGCGGTCCGACGCCGTGGCGTGGCGCCGGCCCACGAGCTGGTAGGCGCAGGACACGTAGTGGATGACGATGAGGAACGCGAACGTGAGCTTGCCGATGCGCACGAGGATCGGGTTCACCTCGAGCGCGCGCGCGGTCTTCATGACCTGGCTCTTCTCGCCCATGGCCGTGTTGATCTGGAACAACCGCAAACACTGGACGAACTTGGCCCAGCCCGCGACGGCGCCGAGCGTGGGCCGCGCGGGCGCGAACCGCGGCGCCGTCGCGACGAGGTTCGCCGTCCAGTAGGGCAGCGTCAACAAGCAGTCCAGGGGCGTGCGCGTGCCGGAGACCGACGTCCAGCCCTTCCACTCGCCGTCGCCGGGCTTGAAGTCGTCGGTCATGTCGCGGCGGAAGCGGAACGCGAACTCGCACGCGTTCACGAGCTCCGCCAACACGTTCGCCGCGTGCCAGCCGTCGGGGAGCCGCGCGAAGCCCAGCACGGAGTAGAGGGGCGACATGACGATGACGTAGCAGTTGGCGAACCAGAAGAAGGCGAGCATGGCGCTGAAGGAGTGGATCTGCGCGTAGACGCGCCACGTGATGACGTCCTCCTCGACGTCGTCGTCGAGGAGCATCTTCTGGTACTCCTCGTCGTCGACCCCCTTGAGGTGCAGCCCGGACGCGACGCGCGCGATGCCGCTGGTCGGCTTCTTCGCCTTGCCGATGGAGCCCTTGATGCGGCTGAGCACCGCGGACACGCGCGACTTCTCGGCCTTCTCGGGGTCGCCGTCGCCGCCGTCGCCGCTGCCCCGCCGCGCCTTGGTCCGCCGGGCCATGAGCGTGCGGATGACGCCCGTCGTCGCGCGGAGGGCGCCGGTCATCGTCTTCTTCGCCGCCTTGGGCGACGCGCCGTCGGGCGGCGGCGCGTCGCCGCCGCCCGACTTGAACATGGCGATGGTCGACAGGACGCCCGCGCCGACCCTCTTGAACTTGGCCAGGCCGGACGCGGGCTCGGCGGCGCCCACGGACTCGGCCGCGCGCGCCTCGAGCTCGCGGCGCCGCGCGTCCGACGACGCGGCGTCGCAGTCGTCGCCGTCGCTGTCCGCGGCCTTGCCGTCGCCCTCGCGGTCGTCGGTCCGCGGCGACGGCGCGACGGCGATGGTCCGCACCTTGGGCGTCGTCACCACCGACGCGTCGTACTTGGCCGGCTCGAACTTGGCCGCGGCGGCCGCGGCGGCCTCGTGGCGGTGCTGCTTCGCCTGCTCCTTGGACGCGTTGAAGTGGAAGAACTTGACGCCCTCGCCCCGGCCGTCGTCCTTCCCGTCCTTGAAGGCCTTGTTCATGGCGAGCTTCATCTTGGCCTTCTTGAAGCGGTCGCGGACGCTGTCGTGCGCCTCGGGCTCCGTCCACGCGGGCGAGCTGTAGGGCTTGCGCCTCGAGTCGCCGCCGGGCCGCGCGGCGCCCGTGAGGCGCAGCGCGCTGCTTTCCTCGGGCCGCGGCTTCGCCCGGGCGCTCGCGCGCGCGGCGACCTTCTCGGCGTTGAACTCGTGGACGTGGGCCTCGACGGGCGCCGGGCCCGCGCCCGCGCCCTTGAGCAGCAGGCCGCGCGCGGCCGCGCCCTTCCACTTCAGCTTGCGCTGCTTCTTCTGCGTCAGCACCAGATCCGCGGCGCCCATGAAGGCCGCGCCGCCGACGCCCATCATCTTCGCCTGGTAGTTGGTCATGAGCGCGATCTTGTGCGCCTCGTCGACGGTCGCGCCGACGGGGTTCGCCTTGGCGATGTGGGCGAGGTGGGGCTTGACGACGGTGCCCCAGCGCGTCTGGAAGGCGCGCGCGGCGCCGCGGCCGTCGTGGGCCCCGCCGTGGTGGTGGCCGGGCGCCGCGGTCGCGCGGACGAGGTCGCCGCGCGCCTGCGCGGCCTTGAGGAGCGCCTCGCGGAAGCTGCTCTTCTCCTGCCCCGCGGCGGCGCTCGCGGCCTCGTCGGCCTTCGTCGCGGGCGCCGCGGCGCTGAGGAAGTCGGGCACGCTCGCGCCCGCGCCCCGGGCCACGTCCGCGCCGTGGCGGACGAAGTCGTCCGCGTGCGTCGCCGCCTCTCGGAGCCGCCGCAGCAGGGCGAAGAGCTCGTCGGCGTGCGGGCCACCCGCGAGGTTCGCGAACTCCGGCGACACGGAGTGCTCCAGCGACAGGCAGCTGAACTCCACGGTCTGCACGGCGCCGCGCAGGGCGTGGAGCGCCCAGGCATCCCCGCCGGCCGGCGCCGGCGCCGCCGCTTCGTCCACCATTTCAAAACCAGGCCGCGCCGGAGCCGCGCCGGTCGCTGGGCGCCGCGGCGGCCGCCGCCAAGGGCCGAGCCGGGGCTGACACGGGAGGCCGCAGCCCGGGGCCGACTCTCAATGCCCAGAGGCTGGCTGTTTCATTTATGGGCGGCGAGTATCGACCTCAACAAGACCTAAACTATTGTATTTGTAGGTTAATCAAAACCTCGGCCAAACGAGGCTGCCACGAGCCGGTGCTTCGGCGCCTCGGTCTGGCTCCGGTGCCGTCGCGCGGCGGCTGCACGCGGTTGGCTGGCTGGTTCGCGCTCCCCGTAGCGCTGCTTGCATTACACCCGGTAGGCCGCTCGCATGACACGAGCTGCAATCGCTGGGCCTTCATGGAGCCGCCGCTGGATCCGCCGCTGGCGGCCGTCGACAGCCCTCGGCGGGCGCCGCCGTGCTTCGTCTGCAAGCGGCCGCGCTGCGAGCGATGCGCGCTCGCGTACTGCAGCGTGGACTGCTCGAACCGCGCCTTCCTCAGCCACGAGCAGCGGTGCCGGCTGGTCCCGCGCGACGCCGAGTGCGTCGACGACGCGGCGGAGGCGACGCTCTGCCCCACGTGCGACGAGGAGCTGCGCAAGTGCTACATGTGCGCGATGCTCGGCGATCCCGGCTAGGTCGACCCGACTCGTGTGATGTGTAACGTGTGCTTGTGTTAGACGGCGCGAGACCTAGGCCGGGACGCGGTAGGTGGCCTGGGGCCGGGCCGGGTCCTGGTGCTCGATGGCGTCGAAGAGCCAGCGGACGCGGAGGACGTGGCCGTTGCGGTGGAGCGCGCGGAGCGCGGCCGGCGCCTTGTAGGGCGTCCAGGACTCGCCGACGAGGGCGACGCGGCAGTTGCGGAGGGCCACGGAGCGGCCGCCGGCGGCGGAGACGAGGGCCTGGAGGGCGCTGTGCGGCGGCTCCGCGGGGCCGAGCGCGTTCGCGACGACGTGGACCTCGACGCCGGCGAGCGTGTTGGGCTTCTTCGGCCGCGGCGGGCCGTAGCCGGCGAGGTAGGCGTCGGGCGGCGCCCAGGTCTCGTCGTCGAGCGACGCGAAGGCCCAGGCCGGGGTGACGATGGCGCAGCCGCCGCGCGCGAGCGCGAAGAGCACCTTGAGCGTCCGCGGCGCGCGCGCCGCCGGCGGCTTCGCCGCGACGACGAGGTGCGTCGCCTTGGCGGGCAGCACGCCGCGCAGCTTCGCGAGGAGGTCGTCGTCGGCGAAGCGCGCCTTGGGCCCGCCGCGCGCGACGATGCGCTTCGACACCTCGCGCAGCGCGCCGCGCACGTCCTCGTCGACGCCCGACGCGGAGATGACGACGGGCTCCGCGCGCGCCGCCGCGGGCGCGCCGCGGCCGAAGAGCCGCGCGCCGAGCGACCGCCGCGGCGACGCCGCGCGCGCGACCGGCGCCTCGGCGCCGGGGCTCGACACCGCGCTCGCCGCGGCCGCCGCGGCCTCCGCGGGCGTCGCGGCCTTCTTCGCGCCGGACCGGGGCGCCTTCCGCGCCGTCCGCGCCGGCGCCTGCGTCTCGGCGAGCGGCGCGGCCGGCGCGAGCTCGAAGCCCGCGCCGAGGTCGATAAGCTTCGGCTCTGGGGCCGCGTCCTCGGTTCGCGCCGGCGCGACGTCCCCGGTCCGCGTCGGCGCGACGTCCTCGGCGGGCGGCGTCGGCGCGACGTCGACGTCGTCGGGCGTCGGCGCGGACTCCGGCTCGACGTCGTCGACGGGCATCGGCGCGACGGCGTCGTCGACGTCGTCGGGCGTCGGCGCGGACTCCGGTTCGGCGTCCTCGGGCGGCGGCGGCGCGGCGTCGACGGCGACCTTCTCGGGCACGGGCGTGTCGTCGATGACGATGATCTCCGGCTCGGGCCGGTGCGGCGTCGCGGCGGCGCGCGGCGGCGGCGGCGGCGACCCGAACGCGCGCGGCGGCGACGCGATGACGACGCGGCGCCGCTTCCGGGGCCGCTTCGCCGTCGCGCCGGCGTCGTCGCCGTCGTCGGCCGCGGCGGGCGCGGGGCTCCGGTCGCGCTTGCCCCGGAGGAAGGCGACGGGCTCGGCCTCGGCGAGCCGCGCGTCGAGGCGCGCGATGGGGTTGACGGCCTCGCTCTCGCGGCGCGGCCGCTGGCCCCGGCGCGGCGCGCCGAGCGCGCGGCGCGCCGAGTCCTCGCGCGCGGCGTCGTCGTCCCAGTAGCGGTCGCGCGCGGACAGCAGCAGGTGCGCGGCGGCGGCCGCGGGCCGCACGACGCTCGTCGGCGCGGCCGTCGACGGCGGCGGCGCCGCGGCGGCCGGCGCGGGCGCGCCGTCGTCGGCGTCCGGCGGCGCGGGCGCGCCGGGCGTCGGCTGGGGCTGCGTCGGCGCCTCGCTGCTCTGCCGCGCGCTGCTCCGGCGCGGGCTCCGGCGCGCGCCGCTCCGCCGGGGGCTCGCGCCGTCGCGCCGCGCGGAGCCCGCGCAGGACGAGCCGAAGCCCGTGTCGCGGCGCGCGCTGTCCCGCTTCGCGGAGCCCGTGCAGGAGTAGATCTCCGTGCCCACGGACTCGCGGAGCGAGTCGCGCTGCGTCGCCGACCAGCGCGACGCGGACCCGTCGCCGCCGCGGCCCGGGCGCGAGTCGCCCGCGTCGGAGCTCACGAGCTCCGTGCCCGCGCGGCTCACGGCGCTCCAGGGCGCCAGGCGGTGGAAGGCCGACAGCGAGCCCGCCGCGGACCCGGCGGCCGACGAGGACTCGGCGTCGGACTTGAGCACGGACCGGAACCGGGGGTCGTCGAGGCCCGGCAGGTCCGCGGCGCGCAGGGGCTTCGCCTCGAAGGCCTTGGGCGTGTGCTTGCGCTTCCGCGACGTCGTCGCGAGGTCGTGGCGCACGAGGTACTCGCGCGCGCGCGACCGGTCCGCGAGCGGGAGCGCGTACGGCGCCGCGGGCACGAAGCCGCCCGCGTCCTGCGACGCGTTGACCCAGGCGAGGCCGACGATGGCGACGCCGCGCGCGCGCGCCTCCTCGAGCGTCCGGCCGTCGCCGTTCTTCCAGACCAGGTGCGTCGCGCGCGCCGTCGCGCTCCACCGCTGGTACACCGTCGCGCCGAGGCCCTGGAGGATGCCGCGGAGCAGGGCCCCGCCGTCCATGCCGTCGCCGAGCTTCACGTCGACGTAGACGCGGACGTCCATCGTTTGTTTTTAGCGGCGGGGAAGCAGGCGCGGAAGCCGCGCGCGGCGCGAGTCGCACGCTAGCGGGTGTCGCGCAGCGAATAAAACGTCGGCGTCGCGGATGCGGGCGTTGCGCGGTAGGACACGAGCAACGTGTGACTCGTTTCTGAGGCGCGGGCACGCGCACGAGCTCCGCGCAGCGCCGAAGGCGACTGCAGCGCTGGCGGCGGAGCGCTCCCGCGGCAACGTCGAGAAACCTAACGAAGCTGCTCGCACGCATCGCTTCGGCGCTGGACGCGACCTCCGAAAAGAGTTTGGTGGTTCGGGTTCCCTGAAACGCGACGCGTCGGCTCGAGTGCGGCCGCTGCAGCAGCAACTTCTTCGTCGCGCAGGAAATCCACCGCGGCCGGCCGCGCGCGTCCACCGCGCGCGCCGGAAAAGAGCAGCACGCTCCAGCCAAGAAAAAAAGAGAATACCGCTAGCATAGCGCAAGCGAACCACGCACGAGGCCGCATCGGCGACGGCGTGCAGCTGCAGTCCTGAGGCAACGTCGGCACGACTTCAACGACGAGATACATTCGATGTTGCATAGGAGCCATCGACGAATAGGCCAGCCTTTGTCTCGGTTTTGGCCCGTAGAAACATGCGGCCTGCGACCCTCCGGGCGCCCCTGGCGCGCCGCAGGCCACCCGTCCCACTCCAGGTCGCGCGGGGCCTCGCGGCGCACTCCCCGCCGGGCGCGCGGCGCCTGTCGACGCGGTCCCTGCCCGACTACAACACGCCGGTCGACGTGGCGAACATCCGCCTGTCGAAGCCGAAGCGGCCGCCGCCGACGAAGCGGCGCAAGGCGGCGGACGGCGAGTGGCAGGGGCTCAAGGACCTGCGCGCGCGGCTCAAGGCCGAGGGGTCCATGGTCGACCAGACGCTAATAGACATGGAGTCGGACGCCGACTTCCAGCGGACTCTGAAGGCCTACGAGGAGAAGGGCGCGGCGAAGCTGACCCTGGAGGAGAAGAAGGAGCGGCGGCGCCAGCTGGACGCGCTGGGCGTGCCCGACTTCTTCGACTTCCTCGGCCGGGAGCTCGAGGAACCCTCGAAGGCGCGGAAGCGCTGCGAGGTCTTCCAGCTCAACGTGGGCCTCTACTGCAACCAGGCCTGCGCCCACTGCCACGTCGAGAGCTCGCCGAAGCGCTTCGAGGCCATGTCCGAGGCCGTCGCGGAGAGGTGCGTCGAGATCCTCGCCGCGTCGCCGTCGGTGCACACGCTCGACATCACCGGCGGCGCCCCGGAACTCAACCCCCAGTTCCGGGCCATCGTCGAGGGCGCGCGGAGGGCCGTGGGCGACCGCGTCGACATCATCGACCGCTGCAACCTGACCGTGCTCACGGAGCCGGGCCAGGAGGATTTGGCGGACTTTTTAGCGCACCACGGCGTCCGCGTCGTCGCGTCGCTGCCCTGCTACTCGTCGAAGAACGTGAACCAGCAGCGGGGCCGCGGCGTCTTCGGCCGGTCCATCGAGGGCCTGCGCGTCCTCAACGAGGCGGGCTACGGCGCCGAGGGCTCCGACCTCCGCATGGACCTCGTCTACAACCCGCTCGGCGCGTTCCTGCCGCCGCCGCAGGAGGCGCTCGAGGCCAAGTACCGCGAGGAGCTCAAGCGCGAGTTCGGCGTCGACTTCGACGAGCTCTTCACGATGACGAACATGCCCATCAAGCGCTTCGCCGACTTTCTGAGCCGAAGGGGCGAGCTCAAGGACTATTTGGACCTCCTCGTGCGCAACTTCAACCCGGACACCGTCGACACGCTCATGTGCCGCAACACGCTCTCCGTGTCCTGGGACGGCTCCGTCTACGACTGCGACTTCAACCAGCAGCTCGGCAACCCGCTCGCGCTCCAGGACGCGCCCCTCGCGTCCGTCTTCGACTTCCGCTCGACGGACGAGTTCCTCGGAAGCGACATCCGCTTCGACAACCACTGCTTCGGCTGCACCGCCGGCATGGGCTCCTCCTGACAGGGCACCACCGCCTAGGGCCCCTCTCTTCGGAGGGGCCCGAGCGGCGGCGACCCCCGCCGGGCCGGACGCGGGCCGCGCTCGCGAGAGCGCGCGAATGACGCGCGCGCGGGTCCCAGCACCCGCGCGCGCCGACCACGCCCGACGTCCACACCCGGCGACCACCGTCGACGACCCCCGAGCGTAGGCCCGGGGGATCCGTTAACGACCACGTGTTTTTACGTCCGCCAGTGGCTCGCGCAGCGCCGCGCGAAGAGCGCGCAGTCGTCGGGGTAGAGGGCGCAGATCTCGTCCCGGGTGAAGATGGCCGTGTGCGACGGGTTCTTGCGGTCCGTGTTCGACCGCTGGTTGCTGAGGTCCGGCGGCGGGACGACGCACGCGTCGAAGCCGTAGCGCCGGAGGACCGCGTTGACGTCGCCCGCGACGTCGTCGGAGTAGCAGACGACCTCGGGCGCCGGGCCGACGAAGAGGTCCTGCGGGTAGAGCATGACCTTGTGCGCCGCCGACAGCTTCTTCCAGCGGGGCCCGCGCTCGTCCTCGGGCGTCGCGGCGCGCTGCCGCCGCACGGCCTCGTACGCGGCGCCGATGCCCGCGACGCGGCAGGCCGTGTCGCCGCAGCCGGCGACGGCGCGCCGCACCCAGTCGTAGAACGCGCGCTCGCCCGCCATCGCGGGCTCGAAGACGATGAAGTTGCGCCGCATGTGGTCGTACAACGACGCGAAGCGCGAGACGGGGTCGCGCGCGACGGCGAGCACGGCGGCGTCGCGCCCCACGAGCGACGCGTTGCACGACTTGGGGTCGCCGCAGCGCCCCGCGTCGCAGAGGTCGCCGCAGCCCTTGCCGTGGTCGTGGAGAGCCAGCCCGGAGCAGTTGCGCGTGCGCGTGAAGTAGTACATCATCCACGTCGAACCCGTCTTGGGCACGCGGAAGTACTCGAGTCGTTTCGCAGGTTTGCCGCGTGTGCAGGTTATTAGTAAGAGGAGCCCGAGACGCATCATCGTCGAGCGCTCGTCACCATAATAAGTGCAGCCCACAGTGCTGCCCGGTTGCAGCCCGCCTAGGGTCACAGCATGATTGCGTCGCATGTCCACGCCTTGCGCGAGGGCGACGACGCAGCGAAGATGGCGGCGGCGCGGGCGCTGGGCAACCTCGCGGAAGAGACCGACAACCAGTTCCTGATCGCCGAGGCTGGCGCCATTCCGCTGTTCGTCGAGCTCCTGTGCGACGGGAGCGCAGCGGGCAAAGTGGCGGCCGCGACGGCGCTTTGCAACCTCGCGGACCACGGCGGCAACCAGGTCCTGATCGCCGAGGCCGGGGGCATTCCGCCGCTCGTCGACCTCCTGCGCGACGGGAACGCGGACGACGCCAAGCTCATAGCTGCATGGGCGCTGGGCAACCTCGCGTGCAACGACGACAACCAGGTCCTGATCGCGGAGGCCCACGGCGTCCCGCCGCTCGTCGATCTCCTGCGCGCCGGGAGCGTGGAGGACCAACGGCAGGCCGCGCGGGCGCTGCACAACATCTCGTACAACAACGACGGCAACGCGATCGCGATCGCGGCGGCCGTCGGCCTCGACGCGCTCGTCCAGCTCGCGCGGAATGGCCGCATGACCTTAGGGCGCCGGCTCTCCTCCAACGTAGGCGGCCCCGCCAAGCGCAAGGCCGCGCTCGTCGTCGCCGCGCTGCTCGGCGGCTGCGTCCCGGACTCGGCGCGGCGCCGAGTCCCGCGCGTCATCATGGCCGTCATCGGGTCCTACCTTTAAGACCATGAGGCAGGCCCACTATTTTACTTCGTCTGAAACGAGTTCTTCTGCGCCTGGGGCGCCCGGCGTGCGACGTCGGCGAGGCCCGCGACGTCGCCCGCGTCGAGTTTGACGTCCAGCGCGCCGAGGACGTCGCGGACCATGGCCGGCGTCCGCGCGCCGACGAGCGGCAGCGGCGGCGGCTTCCCGGGCCCGCGCGCGTTGAGGCACCAGGCCAGGGCGACCTGGCCGACCGTGGCCTTGCGGTCCGCGGCGACCTGCTCGAGGGCGTCGAGGAGGGGCGCGAGCTTCGGGAGCTGGGTTCTGAAGAGGAAGCCGCGGACGCCGCGCGGCAGTTTCGGGAGAGCCGACGCGTCCGCGCCGCGGTCGCCGAAGCTGCGAGCCGCGTCGGCGCTGTAGCGGCCCGACAGGAGCCCCAGCGCCAGCGGCGAGTAGCCCACGGTCGTGACGCCCGCGGCGTCGGCGACGTCGAAGGACCCGTCCTCGAGCGGCGCGCGGCAGAGCAGCGAGAACTGCGTCTGGTGCGTCGCGACGCGCGCGCCCAAACCGTTGACGGCGTCGACGCCGCGGCCGAGGGCCCGGGGCCCTAAATTGCTCAGGCCGACGCCCGACGCGTAGCCGAGCTCGCAGCACTTGGCGAGGCCGCCGTAGACCGCGGGGTCCTGGATGCCGCCGAGGCCGTAGGTCTCCGCGGACCAGTGCTGCCCCACGAGCGCGACGCGCTCGGCGCCCAGGCGCTTCAACGACTGCTCGCAGGCGCGCACGAAGTCGTCGGGCCGCAGGCGCCAGGGGTAGACCGCGAGCTTCGTGTGCACGTACGCGTCGGCGCCGCCGCCGGCGAAGCGGCCGAGCAGCAGCTCCGCGTTGCCCTCGATGTCGCCCGTGCCGTAGGAGTCGCCCGTGTCGAAGTAGCGCACGCCGCGGTCCCGCGCCAGGGACCACGCCGCCAGCAGCGCCTCGTCGCGCTCGGGGCTGTAGTCGTAGAGGAGCTTGTTGCCGGCCTGCCAGGTCCCGATGGCGAGCGGGACGTCGTACGTGAGCTCCTCGACCTGGCCAAGAGACTTCGTCTTTTTTGGCGCCGTCTTCCACGGCAATTGCAGCTCGAGCGCCGCCGCGGAGGCTGCGAAAACGAGCGCGCGCGCACACATGCTTCGCAGCACCATCGATGCGTGCGATAGGTGAAGCCGCCTTGCAGCCGTGTTGCCTTTGCCTATGGCCGTAGTGCTGAGCGGCTTGCAGGCTGAGTTATGACCCTGGATTCCCTCTAATCGATCGCAGCGCTGGCCGTCCTGCTGCTGCTGCCCGCCCTGTACCTCGGACTCGCGAAGGCGCGCACACCAGACGCGCCGCAAAAGAGATCCACATCGCCGACGAGCGAGGACCTGAAGCGCAAGCGCTTCGCCGAGTTCGAGGCGCGCGCCGAGGCGAAGCGCGCCGAGGCGGCCCGGAAGCAGGCCTACGACGTCGTCTCCCGCGACGGCGGCTTCATGATCGGCGCCGTCGGCGCGGTGCGCGTCGAGCGCTTCGACGCGCGGCGCAAGGGCGTGCTCCACTTCCACGACTTCAAGCTCTGCGGCATCTGGCTGTCGGCCTTCGTCGGCGGCGACGGCGCCGCCGTCGAGCGCGCGGCGCTCCCGACGCTGCTGGGCACGGCCGTCGACGCCGAACTCGTCGGCGAGGAGCGGACGCTCGAGGCCGCGATCACGGCCGTGGCGACGAACTCCGCCGACGGGTCCCACGGCCGGCTGCTGGCCCTGTACCGGCGCGCCCGCCGCGTCGCGGTTGAAGTATTTTTTCAGCGCGCGGTGACGACACCCTCGAAAACTACACTTGATCGCAGAGAGGCCCGCCGCGAGCTCCTCGCGGGGCTTTGCTGGCGAGAGACACGAAAGGAACCCGAGCGCGCCTCGGTCGACGAGAGAGAACCCAGCGCGCTCCGACAGCGCGCCGACGCCGCCCCGCCGCAGGTGACGCGCCTTGTGTTTTGTCTGTGTGTTGTTGTGCCCCCTCCTGTTGTACTAAGAATCTCGAACTTGAATCACAGCGGTTTTACAGGATGGGCTCGGAGTCGTTCCAGTCGATGCCCGCGTTGGGCCAGCGCGTCCGGACGACGACGTCGAGCGGCGGGATGAGCGCGGCGTCGTCGTCGACCGCGGGCGGCACGGGCCGGTGCGACTTGCCCGACGCGTCGTAGAGGCACGGGTCGACCGTGAGGCGCACGGGCCCGTCCTCCGTCGAGAGGCAGTCCCAGTAGGTCAGATCAAAAGGCCGGTCCGCGTCGCGGTCGAGCACCGCCGGGTCGTCGGAGAAGAGCACGGAGAAGTGCGACTCCGAGTAGACGATGAAGATGGGCACGCGCGGGCTCTTGAGGAAGTCGCCCACGGCGAAGTAGCCCCGCGCCTCGTCGGCCGCGAGCAGGCCCACGCGGTCGCGGCGCGGCGCGCCCCGGAGCACGACGCCGTCGACGTCGCGGACGCCGTCGAACGTGTTCGAGTGCGCGCGTCCGAAGAGCAGCAGGTTGATGACCTCGAAGTTCGCGAAGCCCCGGCCGTCGATGAAGCAGCGGTCGCCGTCGTCGCCGTCGCCCCGCGCGCCGGCGACCGTGCGGCTCAGCACCGCGGACAGCAACAGCAGCACCGCGCCGGGGCCGTGCCGCGCCTCGTAGAGCCGCTGCACGGCCTGCGACGCCACGAGCCGCTCGAGCTCCTCCGGCGACGCGCAACACCGCAGCGAGAGGCGCTCCGTGACGCCGTCGGGCCGCAACGCCGCCGCCGCGTCCGCCGCGCAGGGCTCGCGCGATAGGACGCAGAGCGTGGCGACGGGCGGCCCGCCGCGCTCCTCCGCGGCCGCGGCCGCGGCGCGCCAGAGCACGGTCACGAGGGCGGCGGCGACGGCCTTCGACCGCGCCTTGGCGTCCCAGGGCCGGGCGGAGCCGCCGTAGACGAGCTCGTCGAGGACGACGGCCTGGACCGCCGCGATGACGCCGCAGGGCCCGCCGTCGTGCTGCTCGAGGCCGTACTGGACCGCGCCGCCGTCCTCGACAAAACACAAGCCCTGCTTCCGCCAGGGCGCGGGCAGGATGCGGCCCGGGTCCCCCGTGAGCAGCGTGCGCAGCTCGCGGACCTCCGCGGCGGTGATGGCCCGCGGCGGCGGCGCCGCGGCCGGCGGGCCCCGCGGCGGCTCGTCGCGCGCCGGCGACGCCGACCGGCCGCCGCGGGCGCCGCGCCGCGACCGCTGGGACCGCCGCTCGCGCTTCGGCTGGCGCGTCGGGAAGAGCCGCGGCGACGAGTTCTCCGTGCCCGGCGCGGCCGCCGACGGCCGCCGCGCCGCGTCCGTCGTCGCCGACGAGTGCGTCGACCGCGCGGACCGCTCGCTCGCCGCGCTCCGGGCGCTCATGCAGGGCGGCTCGAGCTGGCGCAGGGCCACGGGCGCCTCGTCGACGAGCGACGGCAGCTCGAGCGGCTGCGTCAGGCCGAGCGACCCGTCCTGCTTGCTCCGGCTCTGCCGCGGCCGCCGGCGCTCGCAGCGGCTCTCCTACGGGGTGGTCGCGATATATGCTCCAAAAAAGAAAAATCGGGGGACGCGGGGCGCGCGGACCGCCTCGGGCACCTCGCGCCACGTCGCGTCGTCGTCGGCCGCGAGCGACGCGAGCCACGGCGGCTTGACCTCCGACACCGGCGACGGCAGGGCCACGAGCGTCTCGTCGGCGACGTGCGCCGGGGGCGGCGACCGCGGGGACCGCGGCGCCGACACGGGCCGGGCCACGGACTCGTCGACGATGTTCGTCGGCACCGGGGACCGCGGCATGCGCTGGAGCCGCGAGCTCGGCCGCGTGTCCTCCTCGTCGAAGTCGTCCTCGTACTCGTCCTCGTCCAGGTCCCCCTCGAAGTCCGCGCTGTACTCGTCGTCCGACATGGCGACGGCGTTAGGGCTGCCCTCGGGCGCTGCCCATAGGCAAGCCCGGCGGCGTTCGCGCCCGCCACCGAGCAGGGCACCGTCGGCCTTCCCGTCAGCTGCAACACGATGGTCGCTGCAGCCCCGGGCTCGATGGACGCGCTCTGAATGCGCGCCGCGCTCCTCCTCGTCGCGCTGCGCGCCTGCGGCGGCCGGCGCGACGCCGACGACTTCGAGATCGAAACGCCGCACCACAGCTTCTTCGTCAACGAGCTGTCCCAGGGCTGGGGCTGCCGCGGCGTCGTCGACGCGGCCGTCGTCGTCACGCGGCGCCACGACGGCGAGGACTACGTCCTCCGGAGCTGCGACTACCCCGTGCAGGCCATCCAGTTCCTCTGCAGCGGCATGGGCGGCCCGGCCTTCGACACGGCCGTCGCCGCGGTGGACCGCTTCGGCCGGATCACGGAGCGCAAGGCGGACTTCCGGCGCACGGGCGCGCCGAGCGTCGACTGCGGGCGGCGCTGGCTGCGGGCCCTCGCGGACTACGACCAGCTCGACGACCGCGACCGGCGCCGCGCGGCGGCGACGCTCGCGGCGCTCGAGCGCCTCGCCGGCGACGCCGCGCGGTCCGCGACGGACGCGCTGCGCATGCCGCCCGTGGACCACACGGCGCTGCACTGGCCCCTGGCCTGGCTCGTCGACGACCTCGCGGAGAGCTTCGGCCACCGGCCGCTCCGCGCGCTAGAGGTCGGCTCGCTCGAGGGCCGGACCGCGCGCCTCTGGCGGGCGCTGCTGCCCGCGGGGTCGACGCTCCGCTGCGTCGACGCGGCCTTCGCGCCGGCCTTCGAGGCCAACGTGGTGGATCTGCGGGCGAGCGGCTTCCTCGAAACGACGGAGGCGCGCTCCGCGGACGCGCTCCGGGGCCTCGACGCGGGCGCGTACGACTTCGTCTTCCTCGACGGCGCGACGGGCGCGCCGGAGGTGCTCCAGGACCTCGTGCTCGCGGACGTGCTGCTCGCCGTCGGCGGCCTGCTCCTCGTCGACGACGTCGGCTTCCCGGGCGTCGCGGCGGCCGCCAAGGCGTTCTACGACGTCAACGGCGCGCGGTACCGCGTCATCCTCTGCTTCGCCCAGCTCGCGCTCGTCAAGGAGGCCGCCGCCGGCGGCGACGGCGAGGACTGGCGCCTGCGGCGGGGCTTCGGGCCGGGCATCGTCGTGAACCGGCGCCGCGCGCTCGCGACGGTCGCGCCGACCGCGCTGCCCGAGGGTAACCTGGACTAGTCGCACGATTCACATTCATTACACCATGGTCCGCCGCCGGACGAGCTTCGCCGTCGGCGGCAGGACCTCGGGCTCGGGCCGGCCCGTGGCCTCGGCCGGGTGGGGCATCATGCAGAGCGAGAGGTACGTGTCCCAGAAGTAGGACACGCCGTTGGCGACGGCGACGCGGTACCGGAGCGGCACGACGGCCTGCTGGAAGACCTGGACGGGCGCCCAGACGTAGACGGAGCTGACCCACGTCGAGTAGAGCTCGTCGCGGAGCTTGCGCTCGATCTGCGACAGCGTCGCGCCGTTCGACAGCGCGCAGAGGCCGAACATGGAGCCGATCATCAAGGGACCCTGGAGCACCTGGTCCGCGACGAGCTTGACGCCGACGGCGCGGACCGACCGGCCGGGCACGAGGCGGTCCATGACGATGAACCAGCGCGTCAGCAGCGGGCCGACCCAAAAGCCGCCGACGCTCGCGAACTTCAGGGCGCGCGCCGCGCGGTCCGCCGGCGCCGCGCCCGTGTCGCCCTCGAGGGCCTGGGCCGTGCAGTCGCTGCAGAAGTAGGTCGCGAAGGTCTGGGTCGCGCGCGTCGTGTAGGGGTGGCTCGCGAGCCGCGCGTTGTACCAGGCCAGTAATGACATTTGCGGTGCTGCTCGAAGCGCCGCAGCGCGAGACCGATGTGGGCTTCGCAAGAGGGGCCGCCTGCAAGTCGCACGTCGTACAGTAGGTGCGTAGAGACGACGTTTAGGACTGGGACGACGCCATCGTCCCGGGCGCGCTGGCGGCAAAATCTACCTCATCATTTCAGCGAGCTGTTAATTTTACCCTCGAATCGCGTCGAGGCCGCGCCTATCTCAGACACCACGAGCGAGCATGCACCAGCGAAGAAGAAAAAGCAACAACAAAACCACACATTACACAACAAGCCGGTCACACGGGGCACAGCTGCATCTGAAGAAAAAAGTCCCACCAGACCATCTCGCACTCGCCCTTCTTGTCCGGCGCCTGCCAGGGCTTGGGCGCGGAGCTGAAGTGGAGGATCTTGATGGGCTTGACGGCCTCCCAGTAGCCCGGCGCCGCCCGCGTCATCCAGTGCATCGTGCGCTGCGCGTTGCACGCGAAGGGCAGCCGCGCGAGCCGCGCGTCCCCGCCGCCGTGCCAGGCCGGGAAGGCGGCGTTGAGGAAGCCCGTGTCGCCGCCGTCGTAGGACGGCGCCGTCGGCGCGAGGGCCACGAGGCGCTCGTAGGTCGCGCGGTCCGGCCGGAGGAGCAGCACGCCCGCGTTGAAGCGGTCCGGTGGGAAGACGTCCGGCGCGGCCGCGAGGTCGCAGTCGATGTCGAAGAGGTGGTCCACGTTCTCGCAGACGACGGCGTCGACGTCGACGTAGAGCACGACGTCGAAGTCGTCGAGGGCCCAGACCTGGAGCTTCGTGTAGCCCGAGTCGGCCCAGCACTTGCCCGCCTGGTCGGGCCGCGCCGCGTGCGGGCTCGCGATGGGCGCGACCTCGCGCACGTCCGCGCCGCGCCGCGCCAGCTTCGACCGCGCGCGGGCGCTCACGGCGGGCGTGACGAGCACGACGCGCGGGCGCGTCGTGCCGGACGCGCGGAGGCTGTGGAGGAGGACCTCCGCGCCGGGCAGGTAGTCGTCGTTCGTGAGCAGCGACGCGTAGGCCTCGCGCCGCGGCGCCGCCGCCACGGCCGCCGACATCCGGCCTGCGTTTTCGGGAACGCGGGGTCGTGCGCGGGGCGCGAGGCGCATGCCCTGAAGGCGCTCTCTCTTTTCCGGGTTCGGCTCAGTTCAAGGATGACTAGCAGTCTCGATCACTATTTTTCAGAGAGATTCCCATTGTGCGATACGTATCATCAGCGCCGCGCGGTCGAGGGAGGAGGGAGGACGCGGGTGCGCACCTAGGGCGCCAGACACTCGGCGAGCTTTTGTGGAGATGAGTGCAACCATTGGTGCTTGAGAAGTTCAACATCCGCCGAAAGTTTTATCACCCCGGGTCCGCGAAGGCGAAGACGACGGAGATGCGCTCGGGCTGCCGCGGGATGGGCGTCTCGAGCGTGCCGAAGAAGTCGAAGAGCGCTTCGTCGCGCGCGTCGCCGGCGTCGACGCCGCGTTCCCGGAGCTCGGCCGCGGAGACGCCGAGGCGGATGCCGTGGTTGAGCGTGTCGCGCGCGGGGCCGTACATGTGGACCATGGTGTTGGCGCGGACGAGCGCGTCGACGTCGCCCGCGTCCCAGGAGTGGACCGCGACGCGTCTCTGGTCCGCGGCCGTCGAGTCCGGCGGGCCCACCGACGACAGCGTCAGCACCGTGTCCGACAGGAGCCCGACGATGCACACGTTCGGCCCGTCCTTGGGCGGGTCGACGTGGGCGTCCAGGCGGAAGAACGACGAGTGCCGCCCGTTGATCGTCACGTCGCGGAGCGCGCCGACCGCGAGACCCGCGGCCGCGCGGTCCGCGAGGCGCCGCAGCGGCTCCGGCAGGCGCGCCGCGTCGAAGTCGTCCCCGTAGCCCCAGGGCGCGATGGGCTGGTCCGCGCACTCGTAGCGGCCCGTGACGCGGAGCATGTTCACGGGCGGCGCGGCGGCGCCGAGGTGCGCCATCTGCTTCCGGTAGAAGCGCAGGTGCCGCGGGTTCAGCGCGTGCGACCGGCCGAACTCTTCCAGCAGCGCGCGCGCGCAGGTCACGACCTCGCGCGCCTCGCTCGCGGCCACAAAGTCCGGGAAGACGCGCAGGCCGGGGTTGCGCGCCGCGTCGACGTGCGCGCCGCTGCCGACGAAGCGCAGGTGGCAGCGGTCCACGTCGTTGAAGTCGCGGTGGTGACTTTGCGCGGTGCGGCCCAAGCTTTTGAGCAGCGAGGCCATGCTGCCGCGGCAGAGGTCAGGGGACAGCTCACCCCTCGATCTCTGTGCTCTTTGACGACATCTTGACGACGTTGCAGTCATTTTTCCGTAATCTCATCGCATGCGCCCGCGCAACGCCACACAAGCAACCCGGGCGTTTTGGCTTTTCTTAGGTTGGTGACTTTCGAAACGAGGGCGCAAAACAGGCCCTCGGCCGCGAAGGTGCCGCTCTTCCAGCGAGCGGCGGCGGGGGCGGCGACGGGTCGTCACGTGAGCGAAAGGCGAGCTGGTTCGGGTCGCGCGCAAGCGTTGTTGGGGGTCTAGGCTGCTGCGCAGCGGGATCCGGTTCCGGTGGTTCGTGGTTGCGAGATGGGACGAGCTTCGGTGGTGAGTCGGCGGCGGCCCTCGCGAGGCGCGAGGGGGCCCGCGGCGGTGTCCGACGCCGCGGGAGATGGTGGGAAGTCATTTTGGTCTTCTTGGTGGTTCTGGTGGTGGTCGCGAGACTCTAAACTGTCGGCGGTCGTAGCAGTGGCTAGACGCAGCTGACGAGCTCGCGGAGGAGGTCCTCGTCCTCCTTCTTGACGAAGCGGCCCTTGACGCGCATGCGCGAGTCGGCGAAGTTCTTGCGGACGTCGTACTTGACCTTCTTGGTCCAGACGCGGCGCTCGCGCTTCTTGAGGAACGCGGCGATGCGGACCTTCCGGGCCTCGGGCGAGTACGCGCCGACGTAGCCCTGGTACTTGGGGCCCGGCACGGGCGCGGCGCCGTCGGCCGCCGGCGCCGCCGCCGCGGCGGCGGCCGCCGCCGCCGCGGGGAGCGCCGCGGGCTCGGCCTTGGCCTCGGGCATGGGCACGGGCTCGCCGACGGGCTCGCCGAGGCCGCCGATGCCCTCGAAGTCGCCGACGCGGAAGGACGCGAAGCGCGCGTCGCCCCCCTCGGGCGCGTCGAGGCCCTCGAGGCCCGCGTCCGGCGCGTCGAAGGCGAACTCCGAGTCCGGCGGCGCCGCGTCCGCGTCGCCGTCCTCGGCGCCCGGCTCGACCTTGACGTGCTTCGACGCGTGGGCGGGCCGGTCGTCGGGCCCCGCCGGGCGCTTCAGGCTCGGCTCGTCGCCGACGCGGGGCACGGCGACCTTGTCGAGCGACGGCGGCGCCGCGGCCGGCGCCTTCGGCGAGACCTCGGGCGTCACGGGCACGTAGTCCATGTTCCAGTCGCCCGGGAGCATGCGCGGCGCGCAGGAGAAGGACGCGTCGGGGCTCACGGTCATGGTGTAGGGCCGCTCGACCGCGACCTTGTCGAAGCTGAAGGGGTGGCTGTCGAAGGCGTCGCGCGCGACGGCGCGGTGGACGACGCGGTCGTCGTCGTCGAAGGAGCCCGACGCGTCGTTGATGAAGCCCTCCTCGCCGAAGTGGACGAGCAGCTCCCGCGGCACGTCGCCCCGCGGCAGCTCGATGCTCGGCCGCTGCGGCCGCGGCGGCGCCGCGGCGCGCGCGCCGTCCGCGAGCGGGAAGCCCTCGACGGGGAAGAACCTGCGACGGGCGCGGTGCGCCCCTCGCCGGCGTGCATCTCGGCGCACCCCCGGGCCGACGATTGCCCCGCGCCGTCGCGGCGCGCGCGCGCGCGCGGGACGTTCCCGGAACCGCCCGGACGCGGGAAAACGCGCGCGTCGAACGGCGCGCCCACGAGCTGGTCCGGCGCCATGCGGCCGCCCTTGGGGTCGGCGAAGTCGTAGGAGTCGAGGAAGGGGCCCGCGGGGAAGCCCGCGGGACGCGCGGGCATGGCCATCGCGAAGGACGGGGCTTGCGATGCCATCTTCGGAGGGGGGCGGGGGGCGGAAAGGAGGCGGCTCCCGAACCGCGGTGGAGTCGTTCGACCAGGAGGGGTACTCGGCGGTGCAAACGGTGCGGGCCCGTCCCGAATTACGGGAGAGATACGAGACGAGACGCGCGGCTGTGTTTTCTATGGCCGACCGCGACGCAAAAGCGCGCCTCTCCAGCTGCTTGCGGTAAACGTGAGACGTGCTGTTCACTATATCTTGGGCCCGGGTGGCTCCGGACGATCTCTTTTCCAATCTTATCAACAAAAATAACTCCCGCCTTCTGCAGGGAGACCGGCGGTTTCGTGACGCACGTGCGTGATGTGACTGCTGGGAGCTGTGTCGCACGAGCGTCGCTCCGGTCTTGCGCCGCTCCGGTGGTGGCGATGCTGGGTCCATGGGAGGTCCACCCATGGGCTGCCGCGACCTTTTGCTTTGGCAGGCAGCCTCCCAAAAAAAATGTGCGTTGTTGTGCGGTGTGTGTTGTTGTACGAGAGTAACTTTCTTCGCGTAAGAGAGCTTCTTTTTTCCCGCAGCGTTCAAGGGCTTGCCAAAGGTCGTTGGGTGCCATGATTTTGAGAGCGCGCGGCTTCGACGTCCGTCCGCCGGCGGGTCCGGAGCGCGCGGCGGCGGCGGCGGCTCCGGACCGCGCGAGCAGCGGCGTTTCTCGAGAGCGCGCGCGTACGGACGAGATTTTTTGTCCTTGGGGAACGTCTCTGCCGCTTCGGGTTCTCCCGACGCGCCGCGAAACGATCGCCGCCGGTGCGCGCGTCCGCGCGGGACGTCGTGGGGCTGGGTCTAGGGCCCGCGTTTGTGCAAGCAGCCCGATGTGGGGTGCGCTGCCTAGCGCGCGTAAGGCTGCCCGACTCAACTGTGCGCCTCGTTCGAGCGCGCAGCGGCTCCCGGCGGCTCGCCGCGCGAGCGAAGGCAGGTCGCGGGCGACGGTAGGGGCAAGCTACGCACGAGCGAGGCGGCGTACCGCCGCGGACGGATCCCGCGGCGCTCGGCGCCCAGCGCTGGCACATGGCTTTTTTGGACGGCGTCGCGCGCGCGCGCCGGCTAGAACAGGCCGACTTCAACTTGCCCAATCAGCTCGCGAGTTCGTCGTCAGCGCGAAGCGGCGACGATAGGCGGATCGTTAGCCGTCGCGGCACCGACGCGAGCGTAACACGAAACGATGCAGTGGGCCGTCCGCGTGTTGCTCTTCGTCGTCGCGGCCGCCGCCCTCGGGCGGAGCCCCCAGAAGCTGCGCCCCGGCCAGGCGCGCCGCGAGGCGGCGACGCTGGACGCGGAGACGGACGCGCGGAGCGTCGTGATCCTCTTCGGCCCGCCGGGCTCGGGCAAGGGCACGCACGCGCCGAAGCTCGTGGAGAAGCTCGGCGCGCCGCAGCTGTCCACGGGCGACATGCTCCGCGCGGCCGTCGCCGCGGGCACCGAGGTCGGCAGGCAGGCCAAGGACGTCATGGCGTCCGGCGGCCTCGTGAGCGACGAGATCGTCGTGGGCATCATCAAGGACCGCATCGCCGAGGACGACTGCAAGAGCGGCTTCATCCTCGACGGCTTCCCGCGGACGGTAGAGCAGGCGAAGATGCTCGACGACTGCCTGGGCGCGACGAAAGAGTGCGTCAACGCCGTCATCGCCCTCGAGGTGCCCGACGAGATCCTCACGGAGCGCATCTGCGGCCGCTGGGTCCACAAGGCCTCCGGCCGCTCCTACCACGCGACCTTCGCGCCGCCGAAGAGCCTCGACGGCCGGAAACCGACCGAGGAGACGATGCTCGACGACGAGACGGGCGAGCCCCTCATGCAGCGCGCCGACGACACGGAGGACGCGCTCAAGGCGCGCCTCGCGGGCTACCACGACCAGACCGTGCCCATCCTCGACCACTACTCGACCGTCGTCTCCAAGGTCGACGCGAACCAGGGCCTCGACGAGGTCTGGACCGACATCGAGAAGGCCATCTGAGCGTGTGTGTGTCGTTCCCCGCCGCCGCCGCGCCCGCGCCCGGCGCGCGCCCCCAGACGAAGTCTCGGGCGGGCGCGCGCCGCGCGACGGGCCGCCCCGGCGCGCGCGGAACCCGCGTGTAACTCGCGGACCTAGGAGGAACAGCAGTGGGTTTTTTTAGAAAGGTGGCGCGTCCGGGCCGCCTCGGGCCCGGCGTCGCCGCGGGGCCGGCTACCGGCCCGTCGAGAGGCCGCCGTCGATGCGCTTCGTCAGCGGCACCGCCTTCGGCTTCGACAGCGTCGGCTTCTTCGCTGGCCTCGCGCCGCTGGGCTTGCCGCCGTTCCCCCGGCCCTTGCCCTTGGCCCCCTTGCCCCGGCCGCCGCCCTTGCCCTTGGCCCCGCCGCGGCCGCCGCCGCGCTTGCCGTCCTTCTTCGCCTTCGCCGCCGCGGGCGCCGGCGCGGCGGCGGGCAGCGCTTTCCGTTCCGCGGCGGCGAACTCCATGGCCTCGGCCTCGGACTTGCCCTCGAAGCGCGTGCCCTTGGTCGCCTTGTCGAACGCCGCGCGCTGCACGTCCGTCAGCGCCTCGCCGCGCTCGAGCTTCTTCGACAGGTAGGCCACGAGGGCCTCGTCCTTGTTCGACGTGATCTTGCCCCCGGGCCAGGCGATGCGCCGCCGCTTCACGGGCTCCGCCGGCACCTCGTCCCAGGGCTCGCGGCCGTCCTCTCGCTTATCTTTGATGTGGCCGAGCGACACCGTGGTCGTGGCCATATTTTTTTTCGGCTGTGTTTTCCGAGGCGGCGGCGACGGCGACGGTCGCGGCGTCCAGCGTCGGAGCTTTGCGTTCGCGTTCGCGTCGCGGCGCGCGGCCGCTCACGGCCTCGCGCTGCTCTCGGACTTTTGATCGCGTGATCATCACAATTGCCCCAACCTCGTCGAGGCTACGTCGCAGTTCATAGGGCCCCGTCACTCGCTCATCGGAAAAGCACACGCACACACTCGCGATTCAATCATGGCCCAGGCGAGTCGCCGCGTCCGCCGCGCCGCCGCCGCCCTCCCGCGCGTCCCCGCCACCCGCGGCACCGCGCGCGCGCAAATGCCCGCGCGCGCGGCGAGATTCGGGCGGCATCGCCGAAAGGCATGGAAGCCGCCAACCAGCTTGTTGCGCGCGCCGCGACCCGGGCGCGCGCGGCCGCACGCCTCGCCCGCCCCACCCCCGCCGGAACCCGCCGCACCACCCACCCGCACCGCCGCTCACGCCGAAACACCATAGGGAGACTACCGCGTCGCCGACATCTCGCTCGCCGACTTCGGTCGCCGGGAGATCGAGCTCGCCGAGTATGAGATGCCCGGCCTCATGAAGACGGTCGAGGAGTACGGCGCGGCGCAGCCCCTCAAGGGCGCGCGCATCGCCGGCTCGCTCCACATGACGATCCAGACGGCCGTGCTCATCGAGACGCTCAAGAAGCTCGGCGGCGACATCCGCTGGTGCTCGTGCAACATCTTCTCGACGCAGGACCACGCCGCGGCGGCCATCGCCCGCGACGAGTCCGCCGCCGTCTTCGCCTGGAAGGGCGAGACCCTCGAGGAGTACTGGGAGTGCACGATGAACGCGATCACGTGGACGTCGCCGGACGCCAAGGGCGACGGCCCGGACCTCATCGTCGACGACGGCGGCGACATGACGCTCCTCGTCCACGAGGGCTTCAAGGCGGAGAACGCCTACGCCAAGGACGGCACGCTCCCCGACCCGTCGTCCACGGACAACGCGGAGTTCAAGATCGTGCTCACGATCATCAAGCGCACGCTCCCGACGCAGCCCGACAAGTGGCACAAGGTCGCCGCGCGCATGAAGGGCGTCTCCGAGGAGACGACGACGGGCGTCCACCGCCTCTACACCATGTCCAAGGACGGCGAGCTCCTCTTCCCGGCCATCAACGTCAACGACTCGGTCACCAAGTCCAAGTTCGACAACCTCTACGGCTGCAAGCACTCCGTCATCGACGGCATCTGCCGCGCGACGGACGTCATGATGGCGGGCAAGCGCGCCGTCATCTGCGGCTACGGCGACGTCGGCAAGGGCTGCGCCTTCGCGATGAAGGCCGCGGGCTGCATCACGACGGTCACGGAGTGCGACCCCATCTGCGCGCTCCAGGCGTCCATGGAGGGCTTCGCGGTCAAGACCCTCGAGTCCCAGCTCGAGAGCCTCGACATCATCATCACGACGACGGGCAACAAGGGCATCATCATGACCAAGCACATGGAGAAGATGCGCGACAACGCGATCGTCGGCAACATCGGCCACTTCGACAACGAGATCGACATGGACGGCCTCATGAAGGTGACGACGCGCGTCAACATCAAGCCCCAGGTCGACAAGTTCCTCTTCAAGAACGGCAAGGGCCCCATCCTCCTCGCCGAGGGCCGCCTCCTCAACCTCGGCTGCGCGACCGGCCACCCGTCGTTCGTCATGTCCAACTCCTTCACGAACCAGACGCTCGCCCAGCTCGAGCTCTGGAAGGAGAAGGACACGGGCAAGTACGAGATCGGCAAGGTCTACACGCTGCCCAAGATCCTCGACGAGAAGGTCGCCGCGCTCCACCTCTCGTCGCTCGGCGTCGACCTCACGATCCTCTCCGACGAGCAGGCCGACTACATCGGCGTGCCCAAGAAGGGCCCCTTCAAGCCCGACACGTACCGCTACTAGGCGGCTTCCAGCGCGTCCGCACCTCGCCCGCCACATCCTGTCGCGACGCTCCGGGCCCCGGCGCTCCACGCGCGCCGCGCCCAGGGCACCCGCGCCGCCGCCTCCGGCGACGCCGCGCGTGCCCGGGGTCTAAACCCGCACTTTCGTGAGTTCCGAGTCTCCCGGCGACGGCGCGCAGGCCTTGACAACGCGTCGTGCGGGAGCTCATCAAGGCTTCATCATCGACGTCAAATCACATCTCCGCAATGCACTCGATATTGCACTCCGTCATTTTGCGACGAGCGAGAGCTGCTTGCCGCTGTCCGCCTGCAAAACCAGCACCGCCCAAGCGCGAGTGCGAAGGCGACGCATCGCAGGGCTAAAAGCCGATGGCGCCGCAGGGCTTGGCCGCCAAGGCCCTGGCGACGCAGGGCGCGCCGCTGAAAGACAAGGCGCCGCCGGCCGCGGAGGCGCCGGCGCCCAGGGACGCGCCGCGCGGCTCGCCGCCGCCCAAGGACAAGGAGAACGACACGCGGAACCTGAGCCCCGCGGCGCGCGCCTGGTCGCCGCCGGCGCCCGCGGCGCCGCCGCCGGAGAAGCCGCGCGAGCTCGACGCGGCGGCGCTCGCCGCGCTGCGGCACCTGCCCGACCACGAGGCGGCGCAGGTCGTCGCGGAGCTCCAGCGCAAGGGCGACGCGATCCGGAACCCGAGCGCCTGGGTCACCAAGACCTGCCAGGGCGTCCAGAGCATCGCCCGCGCGACCGCGTACTACCCGCCGGGGACGGTCTTCTACCCCGTCGCGGCGCCGCCGCCGGGCCCGCCGCCGCGGGGCGCGTCGTCGCCCGCGTCGCCGACGCTGCGGCCGACGGCGACGGCCTGGGCGCCCAAGGCCGCGGACCCGGCCTTCGTCGCGGCCTTCCTCGAGCGCGCGGGCTGCGCGCGCCTCCTGCCGCACTTCGTCGCGAACGAGATCGACGGCGAGGACGCCGTCGCGGGCCTCGAGGCGGGCGACCTGCCGGACCTGGGCCTGCCGCCGGGCCTCGTCGACGAGGACGGCTACGAGCGCCTCCTCGAGGCCGTCGCGGACCTCCGGCGGCGCCGCGCGGCGCCCGCGCCCGCGCCCGCGCCGGCGTCGCGGGTCGTCACGCCGGAGGGCGGCACGCCCGAGAAGCCGGAGCCGGACGCGCCCGCGCCGCCCGCGTGGCCCGCGGCGGCCGCCGCGGCGGCCGCGGGGCCCGCGCCCGCGCCGTCCGACGCGCCCGCGCCCGCGGCCGCCAAGGCGCCGCCGGCCTGGCCCGCGGCGCGCGCGCCGCGCGCGGCGCCGGCCGCGGCGACGGCCGCCGCGCCGGCGCCCGCGC